ATTATCCTTCTTTCCATTTTGTGCTCACAAATCATAACGGCAATATTCATGTATAGTTATTAAAGCCTGAAAAAAGCATGTTTGCGATGTTATCGTCATGCGATAATTTGCAGATACTTTATTTTTTACCACGATATTTTCGACGACGATGTTTTTAAACTGCGAAGTTTTTGAACCGCTTTATTTTCTACGACGATATTTTGTACCACGATGTTTTAGAACTGCGATGTTTTTTCCCACGATGTTTTGTAGCACGACGTTTTCGCCTTGCGTTGTTTTCTCCGCGACGTTTTCGTCCGCGATGTTTTTGCCGCGATGTTTTCGGCTGTAACCATTATTGACTTAAGAAGTGTGATTAAGTCTTTTGCGTATTATAAATTATTTTTGATGATAAACAGAGCAGTATGATAGGGCTTTCACGTCGTATAATTTACTTGATGTTAAGTGCAGAAAACACATACGAATTTTCTAATAATTTCAATGGAAACCTCTATTTAACAACCTTTCAGCGATTCAGTATACTTATGAAAAGTGTAAAATTATAGTACATCACTTAGTATAATTTTCTTAGTAAAAGCGGCCGTGCGGTGAAACAGCTGAAGACAGGTAGTTCGACTCAGGTTCCGTTTGGGAGAATGGGTTCGTTGCATAGGAGATTTCGTGATTTGATACATGATAAACGTGATTGCGAGCCATTTTCCTTAAAACCTTACCATAAAGGTATCCTCCCTTTAGGCAAATAATCCTTACGTGCTTTGCCATAATATAAAACATCTGGTCAGATCTTAGCTGGTAAAAAGTCATATCAGGTCACTGGAGTAGTTTATTAAGCCTTATAGTTAAACATAATACACATACAGTTGGATTTCAGTATTGCTCACTCAAGCCAAAATTTCTTGTAAATCTAGCATGTCAGCAGAAACATGCAGTAAATCAAGTTATTTTTGAAAGAAAATCGAGAAAGCGAAAAATTTGCAGAATTCTGTCTATTCAATAAGGAAAATTTTAATTTTCTGATCAAATAATCAAAATTAAAATTTTTTCTGGAAAATTAAATTAATAAAATTAAAAATTAATTTCAACAAACGATTTAATGAAAATTAACTTCACGAAAATTTAAAATTTTCTTATTGCATCTCATTGTTTTATGAACATTTTTCAGCAAACTATTTAAAATTATCTCATTGCCTGCCGGTCCAGTGATACTATAAAATCAAACAAGACTCTTATTAACATTAATGGCAAAATTTGGGGAAATTTGCAAGTGAAAACTAAATTTTAAAGGTAAAATTTATTCATAGTTTTCGATTATTTCAAATGAAAAGTTTCAAAATATAAAACGATAGTTAACTCATAAAATATCCTTTTTCTCAATTTATATATATACTCATTTTTTCATGTATTATTCAATTGTGTAATAAAGTTAAATGGCTAATAAAAACAATTGTAAAATTCAATCATAATCTGACGTTGAGTTTAAACGAGTCATTTTGAAACATATACCTACAAGCGTAAAGTATTTTGAGACATCTTGCACTGTATACTAAAGCGCAAAAATTAAGTCTGGGAATTTTTTTACATCTAAAGTTGCCCGAGCAGTGTTTCAAACTGGTACAAATCATACTTTAACATCGTCGGGATATAATACTCCAGTACACTGCGGGATGAACCTCGTCCGTTCATGATCAGTAGCAGATAGATGCTGGATAAGCTTTTTAAATAATGGCCCAGTTCACAACCAGAGCGATCCTCAGTTGCGGAATCGTTAATCTCAGTTTATAATGGCAGGCGCCTCCCGAAAACATCCCACCCGTATTTGATTATTAAATTTAGGTCTAAGAACACTGCGAGTCAATCCATGAGCAAAGTACCTTCACTCTTTAACATCTCCTGCGGGATGAACATCGTTCGTTCATGATCAGTAGCAGATAGATGCTGGATAAGCTTTTTAAATAATGGCTCAGTTCACAACCAGAGCGATCCTCAGCTGCGGAATCGTTAATCTCAGTTTATAATGCCAGGCGCCTCCCGAGAACATCCCACCCGTATTTGATTATTAAATTTAGGTCTAAAAACACTGCGAGTCAATCCATGAGCAAAGTACCTTCACTCTTTAATATCTCCTGCGGGATGAACATCGTCCGTTCATGATCAGTAGCAGATAGATGCTGGATAAGCTTTTTAAATAATGGCCCAGTTCACAACCAGAGCGATCCTCAGTTGCGGAATCGTTAATCTCAGTTTATAATGGCAGGCGCCTCCCGAAAACATCCCACCCGTATTTGATTATTAAATTTAGGTCTAAGAACACTGCGAGTCAATCCATGAGCAAAGTACCTTCACTCTTTAATATCTCCTGCGGGATGAACATCGTTCGTTCATGATCAGTAGCAGATAGATGCTGGATAAGCTTTTTAAATAATGGCCCAGTTCACAACCAGAGCGATCCTCAGCTGCGGAATCGTTAATCTCAGTTTATAATGGCAGGCGCCTCCCGAGAACATCCCACCCGTATTTTATTATTAAATTTAGGTCTAAGAACACTGCGAGTCAATCCATGAGCAAAGTACCATCACTCTTTATCATCTCAGCGACAATAGTTGTACGCTGAGGTGTACTTTTGTCCTCATAAAAAGAAGTTATCCACAGCAGCCCGTAAAGTACGCTTCTAAAAAAGGAGCGACTAGGCACCTTAAACCGGTATCACATCTACAAGTTACCGTCAACATCATGTCGAAAGAAAATTTCTCTAAAATTTGCCATTTGAGTTATCTAATTGGCTGATTTACGCAAAGTTCTTTAATGAAAACTATGAGTTTCAAGCCAGGTTGTATGAAACAAAACTGGCTCTCCAAAATTAGTTTTGTGGAAAAGGTATGAGGAATACAAAGTTTAATATTTTCATTCCACCATTTTCAACTCGATTGTGAAATGAGCCATGTAGCTTAGCCGAGACATCGGTTCGGGCGAGACGTGTTTCGGCTAGGAACCCTCGAGTGGTAGGAGGAAAATGCTCGTTTCTCAGAAAAGTTTCTCCAAACCTCACGCATTATTAGATGTGATAACCCGCATTAACCCTTTGACTACTGACGGAAAATGTATGTCCTACTAAAAGTTTAAAATTTACAGTTGGGTTAAAAAGTACTTAGAATCTCCTGAATATTGGAGATCATCTTCCAATAGTATGCCGGCATGCTTGTTGTACAAATTTTTGTATACAAATGAACATAGAGAAAAGAACAAATATGAGTTTCCCAATGTGTATTGTTGGGTTTTGCAAAGGATGTTTTACCCTGTACCATACGATGTACACTCTATTTCATATAATAAAGTTTACCAGAATAATAAAGTGTGCTTTATGTGTGGGACATATGTATCCCTCCACTAACAACGGCTAGGACATATACGTTCCAGCTTTTAGCTTGAAAACCTTTTGACAAAATAATCCCAAATGCTAAATTTACCTTATTTATGACATATTTTGCTCACTTGGATAGAAAACGGGATAAAATATTTACTTTAAATTCGCAATCAAAGCGTTAGTGATCACTAGTGAGCTCCTTAGAAGCACCACATCGACAGCCATTAAACATTCTGAATTCCCAAACAAGAATTCGATGCTGCTAAACACGCCTTCCAAGACGTTCGACTTCTGTCTATTTGCGCTCTCTAGATGTTTAGAATTGCCAATGAGACTAAATCGATTCTTATCTAGAAACGATACTCAACCATACTGCTGAATCTCCCAATCCTTCTTTCCCTGCACTACAGAAAACGCTGTCTCCAAAGGGGAAACACTAATGACATATACCGTAATGGTCTTCGAAGGTATATTTACACACCCTTGTCCGCATTTTGCTGGCCATGGTAAAATATAATATTAGCCGTTCAATATCGGTAAATGCGCTTTGTATTGTGTCTTGCGATTCTATCCCCAATCTACCGTCAGTTTCTCGTCACTTGTAGACAAGATGACGGTCCTTCATAGTTGCTCGTGAATGACTAGTGTTGAATAAAACCAACTACCTACAATTGTTTCACTCTTTCGAAATGCTATTCAAGCTCATAACTGGTTGTTGCACGCAATCTCGAATTTCTCGGCCACATTAGTTTTGTTTTCATCTTCTCAATGATTCGACCTCCAGTAAAGTCATCTACATGTTGTCTATAGCATTATTTGTTAGAAATATCACATTGTGAAAGCAACTCGATGTCGTCCAAACTTCCATCAATTGTGCAATAGCTTCCTTGAAATGCTGAGCGTGTACCCTTCTCGAAGTTTTATAGCCTTCCCGCTCGCCCATATTGTGCCATATTACGAATATGCGTACAGCTCAACATTCCAAAACCTATTGGATCTGCTGATTACTCTCTCGGTCGATACTAAATTTTCTTTCCTCTGTTGTGTTCATTTCGAAATAATGCAATTGTTTTAAGTGCATGAGCTATAAGTTGGAAGATAACGGGATAAACTATCTACACCAACTTGCTATAAAAGCAGTTGGTAGTTTTACTTAGATTTTAGCATATTTTCTTCAAATCTGTAATGAAAGTAACAAAGTAATATTTCGCTTTATGAGTTCAATAAAGGCAAGCGCGAGGAATATTAATGGAGTATATGAAGATCCGACAATAAGCATTACTCAGAGTCAATGGTGGTTCCAGAAACTTCGAGTTGGGAACTACAGCCTAGAATATGAGCCGCATTCTGAAAGATGAGTAGAGCTCGACGAGAACGTCCAGCAAAACCTGGTGAACAAAAGTCTATCGTTACCGTTGAAAAATTGTCATAAGATAAAACAGAGTATATTTTAGGTTACAAAAAATAACTTTATCTTAGTTTTGGAAAAAAGATAGAGATATAGAGGTATAAAAAATCCGCATTATTTTCAGGGTGGATTCGGTATTTAAGCGTTTTAATTTCAGCTCAAAGTGGCATGTATATCTTGCACTGCTTATTTAAGTCTATACATCAACGACCCTTTTTGTTTTGTGTTCAGGTTCCCCATACCGGACCCACATGTCCTCCGCCATTTTGAAGCTACAAGAAGGAGGACAATTACATGTTCTGAAGGAACGTTGGTGGAAGAAAAGACGCCTCACTCAGAAGTGCGCGAAGGACGATGCGACTGGATCCAGTTCTGCTTCCGAGTTGGGCTTAGCCAACGTTGGCGGTGTGTTCCTGGTACTTATCTGCGGCGTATTCGTTGGATGTATAATCGTCATATTTGAATTTGTGTGGAAATCAAGGAAAGTACCCAGTGAAGAAAGGGTAAGTTTTTGAAATTAATTATTAATGATATCTGCATTAAAATATTATAAGCAAAGTATACCTCCAAATATTCGTACTAACTGAGACTATAACTCATCCGGATTAACGGATTATTATTTTACTATAGGCCAACTGCGTATTTACTCTTACGCACAGAGAATTCATTCCTTTAGTTTAATCTGTTTCATTTAAACAAAAACTATGAAGTTGTTAAAAACAAAACATGACATACTTTTAAACAGATAATATAATTTTACTAAAGAAATCATTGATGTTGCAGCTCCATATTTATCTCCAAGTTTAATATCCGTTTCACAATTATTTTAATGTGTTAGCTTGTTCAATTTACCTTTCAAAATCATTAAATTGCGTTTTATTTTGGTAAACCGTAATTGGTTAACAATATTATAATCAATACTGATAAATTGGCTACCTGCTTTAGGGAAGAGATGCCTTCGTGAAGAATTTGTTCTCACAGAAATATTTGTGATGAACATCAATTGACTAACTTATAATAATTGAATGCAGTTTATCTCGCAAACGTGTAAAGCAGAAATACTTTACGTAAAGGAACAATACACATAATGTCATCACATTATTTAGTACATTGTTATCAAGGAAGCATTTGTTAAATTTGCTAAGCAACAATTTGAGGATTAAAGAATGAATAAGCTTCAAAGTAAGTAACTGCTTTGCTGTTAATACTGATAAGCTGAGAAATATTATATAGCACGCGATGACATGCTAGTAAATTAAGTGAATTTCTGTGACAGACTAATTCGCTTATAATGAATTGTTTTTTACACTGTAAGCCAATTAATATTTCGTACACGTCCATCGAAATTAATTTAATAACTTCCTTAAAATAAATAGTATGCCATTTTATCATTTTTATATATTTAAATCAATGAAAACATTAAAAATAAAAAATAATTTTCTAAACTAAATTTTAAATGTCGTCGAAAGAATAAGATATTCTAATAATTGGAGTTCTGTTGTACTAAAGAATTTTTTGTTTTATCGTTTATAAACAGAGTTTTCAGCCGATGTAATAACATTGATGACATAATCTATGCAGTCATTAGAAATATCTTTAAATTTACTTATCTAATAGACTGAAACTCTGATGTCAAGAAACACATAACTAAATGTTAGATAAGTATGCTCGTGTGCAAAATTAGTAGAATTTGTACAGTATATCAAATTTCTGAAAAAATAATGGACAGGTTTTAATAAAATTTTATACGAATATGCATTTATAACAGAGAAAAAAATGCACCATTCAAAAGTCAGTTTATGTACGCATGATTATAAGTGAAACTCATAGTACAAGGATGTACAAAATCCATACTGTGTTATACTGAAAATGAGTTTAATATGATGTATTAAACTCATTTTTCCCTCTCACAGCCAGACAGGTCGCGCAGCGTGACTTGGACAGGACGCAGCTGAGAAGGGCAGTTGATCCCACTCCTACAACAAGGCAGTTTTCAACTCCTGGATGGCTCTCGGAGGGGGATAGTGATATGAAATTGCCTCCCAAGAGTGCCCCAGGCATGCAGTATAGGATTAAGTTCAGGATATCTGGCTGACCAATCCATGCGGTGAATATCCTCACTTTCCAGATAAGCGTCAAACAGCTGAGCCCTATGGAAATGAACGTTGTCGTCCATTAACAGGGACCCAGAACCAGTTGTGTCCCTGAAAAGTCAAAAATAGTAAGTGTACAGAAAAATAACATCTTTCTGTACAGTCATAGAAGTCAGGAGCATTTGTCAAACACTGCTGGGTTGTGCGGCAGTTTAACATAATGCCTGCCTTAACCATTAAACCTCCACCACAGTAACGATCCTTTTTCCCTGATGAGGGGATGGATGGTATCGTATTCCAGGCTCTTTCCGAATACAAATACACCAAGAATCAATATCGAAGCTGAGTCTAAACTCAGCTGTAGAAAGCTTCATTGAAGTCTGGTCGAAGGCGCATGTTTTCTGCATCATACTAAACGCGCTCTATTGTGTGCTGTAATGAGCTGGATACAAACAGCGAGTCTTCTGGGAAAAAGCCAGACACATCGGGCAAACGTAGAGCATGGAACTCGAGTTCCAGTAGCAACATACATCTCACATGAAAGCTATAGCAGTCCTGTGTCAACAACCTGAAAGTGCCAAATAATGATCCTCATTCGTCGTTGTGAATCTTGGTTGACCTTGTCCAGGTTTTCTCGATATGGATCTCGTGTCGTGAAATTGTTTCCTCAAATTGATGAGTGTTACTTTGAGCTGGACGTTACATCCGTAGCCACCTTCGCTTGTGATTGGTCTGCTTCCAGTCTAACAGCAATTCTCTATCTTATTCCATCATTCCTAAATCCATAGCTACTCATTCGAGCTTATAAAGTATACCTAATTCTTGTGAGAAACAGAGCGAATGTCTTGAAGGAGTACGAGCACACCAATCACTGAAATCCCCTCGTGCACTTATATCTCCTTCACAATTCACAGTTTTGTAGACACGCGCGTGTACGCTTACGTATTCGACTCTGAATGCTTTGGTGGCGTAGTTAGTACCTTTGGTTCAATACTTTCCGTAAAAATAGACATAACTTTCAAATTCTCTTAATTTTGCACACGATTATATATATTACATATCTCATCGATTTTAACCAAATTGCATTTCTGCGTACTCTTGTAGAAATGTGGAATATTCGTTAGCTTCTGAAAATAGAATTTGAGAATGCTCAGAATGATAAAATTTGAGAATTTTAAAGCAATCACATTCAAATTACAAAATTACAAAGGATGTTATGTGCGTAAAAATATGAGCAATGGAATATATTTTAGATCATTTTTGGCATCGGTCATTTTCCACAAAAATTCAAATGTACTGTATAAGATTTAGTAAATCTCTACGACAGACATCTTCAGCTGAAGAAAGCAGGTTAAAAGATAATTTTAAGTTTTCTTATGCATTTAAATTTCTGTAGCTAAACAGTCTTAATCGCAAAACAGTATTATTGAAAATTTTGGGAAACATTCAATAGCCTTTGACGATTTCGTTTTGAGCAGGGCCAGCGTCAAAGCCGGTGCAACCCGTGTGTCCGACTGGGAGACACGATTTTGGGCGGCAAATTATTTACAATTTAGAAAGGAAATCGGCGGTAGAATATCGGAGTTGCAGAGTTTGCACCGCGCGGCAAGGAGTCTAGTACTGGTCCAGGTTTTGGGATATTTCTTCCCAATCTTTACAAACATGCTAAACAAACTAAAAGTCACTTTTTTTTTTCACTTTTAGTGACACATTTTAGTGCGGCAAAATGTTTTTGAAAATCAACCAGAATACCATAAGAATACGGCTAAAGTAGCGGAAAGAAGCTGTAACCCTATTAACTTATAAATATTTCTAAATAGTTGTTCATTTTCAGAACCATTCATTGTTTTGTACGCCAATATAACAAATAATGCAGTACTGCAGGGGGTAGGGGGGACAGTTCTTCATTTACACTTCTGCCCATCCAAAATGCAACGTAATAAAGGAAGCATCGAATCAATTACTGTTTCATTAACCGTTAGGAAATGAAAATTATTGTTTCATTAACAGTTAGGAAATGAAAACAGTACTTGAAAAAAACTTTTGAAATTAATCTAAAGGAAACCTAATTTAACTTAAAGAAAAATGGCCTTCGACCCGATTTCTTAAATAAAATTGAATGAACTATGTTACTAAAACCTTAAGCTAAAACATTCTTTAATAAATCGGTTAACTGAATAACATAAACGATTTTAAAAAGAACAAAATTAGTATCTCTTACTCGATGATATTACACAGTTGAAAGTTAATTAAGTACTCAATTAGCTTTAGTTAGGAAGATGCAATTAAACTTTTTCAACTTTAGCTAAGAATATCTAACTTCATTCCACATAATTTTCAACTATAAATATAATAAGGATATATGCATTTTGCAGGAATCTCTTTGCACCGCCCTATGTCGAGAGCTGAAGTTTGCCATTTTCTGTGGTGGATCTACAAAACCAATTAAAGCTACAGATGAAGGTGGTGATGACTCAACACCCCACCAAGAAAACGGTTTGCCTTTCATGCCTATGCCAGGATTTTCTTCATCTAGCCCATCCAAAGGATTCCCTTCCTGACGTGAGGCCCCCCTGGTGAAAGATCCCGAGGGTTCCACCTATTACAGGTATGGAAGGGGTACAGGCTCAGATGTGTGAAAATACGTTGATGTAGAAGGTAAACGAAACAAGTTGTAAGCAGCAGAAACAATAGTAAACCACTGTATTTCGATCCATCGAAACAATTTTGACTGCTGATAATGATCATGAAATCTTTTCACGAACTGTGTATTAAAACACTTTTGCTACAAATGAATTGATGATCAGCCGGCCAGAAAGAATTATAAGTGACCTGTGTTCAAATTGTCATCTAAAAACTGTTATTAGATGGCTATGCGGTCATCTCGCTTTTGATTGTGTTAAATTTATGTGCAATGGATGTCCCATCTCGTATCTTAAGTAAACATAAATGAAAGGATGTATGCTTGAAATATGCGTTTCTTGTGACGCAGATACATTTTATATAAAGGATGAAGTATATGCCCAAAACAATCCTAAAACTGAACTTTAGACATAAAAAGAGTGCTTATACTGCTGTTAGTATAAATCAAATCTCGAATTTCATAGAACATTTTATTAGAGCTAAAATAAGAAAATCCATAAAAAAAAGAGAGATTAATCTTGCAAGGATAACTACAAAAAGTTATTTATAAAACAATTGAAATTTTGTCATTAGCCTCTGCTCCATTAATAAATAAACTGAACTTTTCCACTGAAGGCAGATTAAAATTTCAATGATAAAATTCACGGAACATATAGAGGCCAAACATTTTATATCGCAAGATGGAAAATTAATTTTATACTTGCACGAGATTTCATGAATTCAGTTTCCTCATTATTTATTTTCATGTTGTAAAATAAAATGAATGAAAAATCGTGCAAAAATTTAATATGTCAAATTATAATTAATCAATGTGCATGGCATGACTGTAAACTGAGAAATATTTCACAAACGCTTAACAGAAATTGAAAAGCTTTCTCGAAAACTTCTTACTCTCTACATTGTCATCCAAATAATAGCTCTCATTAAAAATAGAATAGCTAGAAAAAAATTCGAACTAGTGTATATCAACTTCTACCATCCCATTAATCAATTCATGATGAACTGATTCGAAATTATTATACAAACATGGCCATGCACAAATGAGTTCAAATTACGATTTGAACGAACGTTAAAATTCAGCAGCTACGAATGATGCTAAAGGTAGCGATATTTTATCTCAAATCAGATCTAGTAGACTAATGTACATCAAAATATATAAATTATATATATTAATTCTACGTATAAACATAGCTATTGAAATTACTAGTATTTTAATTTGTCTATGTTCACACCTTATTCTTTCACAAAGAAGTCTTAGCATCCTTTACACAGATCAAGAAGCTAATCCAAAAAATAAAAAGGACTTGACGACTCTTCCGAAATTCAGTTTCAAAGCTAATCATATTATCTTACGCAAGAGATGTTTTAAATGGCATGGCAGCAATACTAAGATAGAATGGTGGTTGAGTAACATAAGCCTTGAGTAAACACTGTTAATACCACTGCACCTTTTTATAACAGGACTAGAGAAACCTCCACATCATGGTCCTTCAACCCGAAATGGTCTTTCATTACACACAATCCAAACGTGAGTAAGTAGTCAGTAGTCTTCAAATAAAGAAACCCGAAACTGAGTTGACAGTATTGAGACACAAAATTTTGTCGTGGAGTTATCGGACTGCCTGTTTCAGATTCTTATGACAAGACATGCAGAACTGAGATGTAAATGACACCATGCCAGAGCAAAGAAAACAAATTTCTGTATAAAAAAATGCCAATGCAAAGCAATCCCTTGTTGAATGTTGCGAACAGTTTTCAGAACAGTCATAAAAAGAGTGAAAAAGCATTGCTGCTGATATTAAATTCACACAGACAGTAAGTTTTTAGACTGTTTTACAGTAGAAGAAAAAGAATGACTTCAAATGTATAATTCGAAATTATTAACCTACATATTGTAATATTAGTGTTTTTAAAAAGTTCGCGGAATTGGTCTGTAAAATATAGCAGTCGAAATTCGATGAAAGTTTAAATCAACCTGGTCTCTTGAAAAGTTCCATCCATTACTCTGTATAGTGCATTTGCTTCAATGATCTTCACAAGGCCTGAAACTACTTTTAAAGGCATTTATAATGGATTGAAGAGATACCTTCCTATTTTATGAAATTCCATCACACATTCAAAAAATCTGGTTAAAGACATGTTTCTTCAACAGGAGAAACAAAAGCGACTCATAACAGCCGTTCCCAATCCTTTCCTCTTTCAAAACAGCCAATCTTTTCTAAGTGCTCATACGATTTCTAGGGTACTATTTCCCGATTTAAACAAGAAGTTCACTGTCCGTTTGAACTGAGAGAACGTATGAAGAAAATTTAGAGAGTTGAAAGGGATCGCAAGCAGCAACCACATTAAAGCTGACTTTTGGTAGCTTTATCCTTTTCACACTATAATATGGAAATTCCGCAAACTTTTCAAAAATACTAGTGAATAAATGCAAGCAAAATATATTGGTGATGTGCATAACATTTTATTGGGCATAGATATGCAGGTGAAATATCAGATAAATTGTTTCGAAAGGATTTATTTCTTAAGTATATCTGACAGATCATTCAGATTGTTTAGACAGATCATTCAGATTTCAGCAGTTCTCGAAACCACCTAAAAATTCAACTAAGATACATGGAGATTGATTCGATTATTTTTATTATCATTTAAAATATTCCTCTGATGAACAAAATTGATAAAAAAACATGGTACAGGTCTTTTGAAAATGACATACAAACCAAAGTTTAAACATATCTAAAATTTTAAATAGCATGGGATTGCTTTACGTTACTTCAGAATTGTCATTGGAAATTTCTATCAATATATTAATCATTTAAACAAAGATTTAGAATACACTGATAGTATTTTTTAATATTTTATTCATTTTAATTTCAAACTACTTATCTATGCTTCATCTGGAATGAATAAAGTATTTTCTTCCAGAAATTTGTGCAAAAATATGCAAGTGCATTTTGCTGTTACATTAACATATGCTATTTGCTTCAATTACTTCCATAATAATTAAAATTATTCTAACTAAATACTTCGTCCTATAGAAGGCTTCATTATCATAAATTAAATTATATATAAAAAACTACACCAGAAAAATATCTATCCACTGCTCAAAACAGCAATGGTAATAAAGCAAAAGATTTTCTCTTTAAGTAATTGCAACTGAAAGATGCCAGCTTTTGATTAAAAAACATCAAAGATAGTAAAAGTAATTTTTCCTTTTTATAAGGCTATTTTACAGCAAGATGCACTTCCAAAATATTAAAACTTAATTTCAGATTGATTGTAGATTTTAGATTTTCCAATACAATGTCTAATTTCTGTTTCTATATGCAAATATTTTAATGAAGTAAGAATGTAACTAAATTATACTTGGGATAAAATAGATATAGACAATACAAAAATATAGTATGATCTATTATATTAGTTCAATAATATTCATGCTATTGTTAAATAATAAGTTATAAATCATATATATATACATGTACTGTTATAAATAATGCCTTAAAATATTATGCTTTCAATTAATATTTGCTAAGTCCAGTTTGGCAGAAAATTTTTATCGCTATATTAAAGCATATTTTATATATGTTTGAAAGGAACTGTCATAAAATAATTAAGGCAGATTACGCCTTTGAATCTCTCTCTCTATTTTGAATTCCTGATTTAGATATACATATGTTCATCAGCTTCAGAGGCAGCTGAATATTTATGCCACTGGCAAACCTAACAGCTTCAACAAGCATTAATGAATTGCATGCAAAAACATTTTTTGCATAATGACAAAAAATACAGATAAAATTGAAATCTATAACACTTCCAACTTTTCTAGCGATATAAAAGTTCTAAATATTGCACAGCAAATTTTTTTAACTAATAATATCAGTTATTAAAAGAAGCATTTAAAATATACATAAGTCCTTGCATAAGCCATTAGTAATCATGCTGATTTCTATTAAAATTTTGAAAATAAAATTCAATTACATGGTTCATTAATTTAAATACAAGTCATATGAAAATGAGATTTAAAGCCTAGCAGTGTAAATACAGATATAAAAGCTTTCCTTTATGTTATTCAATCCAAATGTTTTCAATCTAAGCTAAAAGCCACAAGCAATAAACTCATTGCATAAATAAATTAATCCATTTATAATACTTTTAAATCACACGCTGTTTGTTGCATGGGCTATAGTGGCAGAAATATCAGCATGGATATTACAGAATATCGATTCAATCATAATTAATCTGAGATTTCAAAGTTTGCTTCTCTTCATTATTAAATATAAGGATATAAAATAGAAAGTTTATCATGCATATTTCTTCCTGTAATATTTTAAGTAGTTTTTTATTAAAAATGCATCAAAGTAACCCATTAACTGAAAACAAAATCAGCAAACTGCAATCATTACTGAATTTTGCATTAAAAATATTTAGGTGAAATTTCTCATCAACCTACTAAAGTAGTCCTTACAGCAAAATATCCCTAAAGAGCTAACAAAATTATGCAACATATTAGAACTGAAAAAGTAAATATTTAATAATATGACTTACAGTTTCTGAAAACGCCGAGATGTTGCAATTCTGAAAACTATGGTTTCTTCAAATAAACTAGATACTGCAATTTGCTTATTAAAAATTAAGATGTAGACAATAACATCCCAAAGTTTTTGCCGACATAAAGATAGAATTAAGCAGTCTATAGAAAAGGGGGTAATATTAAGTTGATTAAGCAGTTGATGGGTTAATGTACATCAGATAAATGGTGCATTTCTCTTCAGAAATTAAATTCTAGTATACTTCAAATATTTCCTCATTGTTCTACAAATGCTTCTTTTACAGATGTAGTAATATATTTTCAGAAATGTCTTATTGAAAATTATTTAATCAATAAGGAAATTAATATTAGTTAATAAATTTTCTATAGTAACTATGAAATATCTCATATATCTAAGTACAGCTAGAAGTGTAGAATAGTTACTTTCCCCATATTCCAGAAATTAACAGAATTAGCTAAATCTCAGTGTAACAAAGCATTTGTGAAAGAGATTTCAATAAATTTTACTTTAAGATTTCCCTTTAAAAAAAAAAAAAAAAAAAAAAAAAAAAAAAACACTAAAACACACAGAAACCAGAATCAAGTCATTTATAAATTATAAAGATATCAGTATACTAAACATACTCTACTTAGTGGAAGAGAAAAATCTGGAAATTAAAAAATTAGAAAAATATTAAACAAACTAATGACTAAAATATATAATACACAAAAAGCAAGTATAATTAAATGCTAAATTAGATTTAAACTGCCATAATATAAACTAAATTGATTAACTTTAGAGTAATTATAAATAATTTTTGATACATTACTAATTTTTCACAATACCGTAACATAAAAAATTATTAATCCATTCAGAATAAGGAAAGCCATGCTGATTTTTGTGATGAATAATTTTCAGAAAGAAATAAAATAATTTAACAGGAGAAATATTTAAACAGAATTTATAATCCATAACAAATACATAATTTAAGAAAAATTTTAATATTATAGCTTTAATTTGTGTTTCACTGGATATTAGAAACCCTTAAAATTCTACATAAACACATATTCCTTACACTTCTGTTTTTTATTTCTAAAATTTTATTTATTTATATTTGTTATTAATTGAGCCATATATTATAAATATTAAAGCATGTTCCTAAATAGCCTAAGCAAAAACATGAAAGTTTGTAAATAATAACAATTGAAAAGAAAAAAAAAAAAGAAGAATAAACTACTTTTCACATAAGCTCTATTTCATGTAATTAAATATATAGTAAGCATTTTATATTTAAGTTTTATATATATAGTAAGCATTTAAGTGAATGAGGGAAAAAAATAAAAGAATTGTAAAAGTAGAAAAATGCTCACCTGATAACTTTAGTTTCTTTATTGGAATTTTACTTTAAGCTTATTTAAAATTGAATATTACAATCCAAAATGGAAATTAAAGTTCTAGCTATAATAATTTTTAATAAGCAAATAATAAATATTTTCCTTCAAGCACTTATCGATACTTTTCACGTTATGCTCCTCGAACTAAAATTTCTATATAATGCAAATGGATGAGTACATGGAATAAATTAATTATGTGTGTGAAACTTGCTATAAATTTAAATGAACAAATAAATAATTTAAAGGATTTCAACAATTGAGCATTTATAATATTTAAAAACAGGCCTCTAAAGCAGGAAGTAGCTTTTCTCTTGACTAACATTTTTAAAGCTTAAAATTAAATAACTTATATGCCTACAAAAAATAAAGAGCATATGTTTAAAATTTTGTGATAATTTATAAAATATTTAGTTTCAACTTATGAAACTGATTTTTGTTTCAACAACATACTACTGACATTTTATCACAAATTACGTAAATATGTATGCAGAAAGTCACTTTATTTCACTCATTTAACTGTTGACCTTTTGCTTGTTACACTGATATTTTAAAAGTATTATGAAATATATTTAAGATTAATGATAGGGGGCAAAAAATAAAAAAGGAGTCTTGTTCCTAAACAAGAAAAATTGCCAGAGGAATTTTAGCCAAGGAAATTGTAGAATGATGGTTTAGACAAGATTATCTGCTGAAGTCATATCTCAAGGCAAGCATTAGTAAAACTTTTCTTATTTTTATATATTGAAATCTAAAAATATAGTCTTGAATATGTAGTATTATTGATGTTCTGTGGTTAGTAATTTATCTGTGATGATAAATTTATTTAGAGATTCCTCTGACATTTGAAAATAAATTCTATAAATAATGACTTTGTTTTCATTCCTGGTTCAATGATATTAACACAAAGCACATTGTAAAGAATGCTGAGAAATAAGTACATTGAAATATAACTATTGTGAATTTAGCAAGTTTCTAAAACATAATTTTCAAATATGCAGGGCATGTTATGGGTTAAATTTAATATATTTATGACACTCTATGACAGTATTAGTTTAGTACAGCTACAATTTTTGACATGATTTTTTATTGATTTGGGGCAACTGTATTTTCTAACATTATTTATTGTATTTTACTTGACATTACATTATTTAAATTTAACACAGCTATCACATTTTTTGATTATATAGAGCATTTTAAGGGTTAAATTAACACAGCTAAAAAATATTTTACATATGATTGCATTTATTTGAGGAGGAAGAAAATTAAAACATGAAACAAAGCTCTATAAGTTTACAGTAGAATGTACAATTATAGCCTATGACTGTCTTTATTCAATGTCATTCTTTAAATAAAATCAGTCAGGAATCTTATTTGTACTTGTAAAGAAGTTTATGTACGTATTCTTGATGAATAAAAAATAGAAACTATAAAAAACTTTAAAATAATTAGAAGTAAAATTGCCTACATTTTTTATATGCCCCAAATCCAAATTAATTTCTCTTCTACTAACAAAATTTCTCAATTCTGTCCTTCCAAACCCTGTATCAGGCTTTATTTATATTAGCTTAGTAGCAACACATGAAAGTATACAGTTTTGCTGTAGTTGCATACAGTATTTGGCTAAGGAAAAGGCTTTCCTACAGGAAACTGGCTCACATCCATGTAGCAAAAGAAAAGAAAAAAATTTAAAAAAAAAAAAATAGCAAGTCAGCTTTTATTTATAGAAGAACATTAATAAAATAATTAATAATAATTTTTTTAATAAAAATGGAATTCTTTGCTATGTTGCTTAACTTATACTAGCAAAGTATATTTTCTATTAACATCTTCACTCCCAATGTTAAGAAAATGAGGTTCCTTCGTGTGCCCATGACCTTGGAACATCACTGCATGCTCAATCGCATTTTGCAATTAACCCTAACATGCACAAATAATTCCTATAAAATCTGCTTTTTATTAAAATACTCGGATTCTCACATGTGTTATTTCTTACAACATAAACAAAAAATTCGACTGCTTACAATTAAAATAAAAAATTAATAAATTAATATGCAATATTAAGAAAAATGTTCATAGTTAAAAATTTAAATTATTTCTGTACAATAATGCAATAAGAAACTTAAAAATTTAAATATTAGTGCCTAGTATATCCTTTTGCAGTATATACAGGGTGTATCAGTACAGAATTGACAAACTTTCAGGAGAGATAGAGTACACCTAGACAATGCGAAATCACATAGAATGCATGGTTGGAAACATTTTCCTAACATGGTACTGATGACACAGAAGTCAAGAAAGAAAAGGCAAGAAGGCGGCGAGAGAACATGTTTATTATTCGAAGTTCAACAAAAAGAAAAAACAACATAAAATGACACCAATCATCATCAAAGAATGTTCAAAATTACGACACAGACCGTGATGGACACCATCATGCATCTTCCATTTGTGATGCAGATCTTCCATGCAGAGATATGAGGCCTGCATCAGTCGTAATTTCGAACACCTTCTTTAATGATGATTGGTGTTTATTTTTGTTCTTATTTGTAGGTTTCTGCTGTACTAAACATAATAAAACATGTTTTGTCTCACTGTTTGTGTCCTTTTTTTTTGCTTTGTGTGTCGTAACTATAGTGGCAGGAAAATGTTTCCGACCATGCATTCCTAAGTGATTTCCCATCGTCTATCTCTCCTGAAAGCTTGTCAATGCTGTACTGATACACCCTGTGTATATATATACACACTATATATACACACACAATTTTAAGCCACTTGTACAATGTAAAATATTTCTAAATTCTGAATGCATATTGTAAACATCAAGTTTTTTACATTCACATAAAAAATTACTAATGTTTATAATAACAAGGCTACCATTCAAGAGATTTTTAAATAAGTTTTTGCAGAATTCTGACATTGATTTATACATGTTTAAAATTTAAACTAATGCATTCCATTTCAGTGTATCACATATAATACAGTGGGCTACCAGTGGCACTTATCTTTTATATTACATTTGATACAGTGGGCCAATGAAGACAAACTGAAATGCATTATATGTGATACACTAGGAGCGTAGAGGTAAAAAAGGTAATAAAGCTTTTCTTAAATAAGAAGAGATAAATGTAGCTAATTCCTACTGGTTGCTTAATCATTCTTTTGATTCTAATTCTGTTAAAACTACTCAAAGGATTTTTTCAGTTGGTAAATTAAATTATCCTGAAACCCTTCTCATTAATAAAAATATTTCAGCTAAAATTAATAACTTCAATTCCAATAAAGTTTTACTCAACATTTTTAAAAGCTTTAACATATAATTTTTGGCACTTTGATATCTATTTTGCTAGACAGATATTGTTATGACTGCTGTTTACTTTTTTATTATTTAGCTTGTTCCCCTCCCCACCACATATTTAAAATTGACTGAGAGTATAAAATAATTTTTTGGAAGAAAGTGATCCCAGAGCCCATCTTCTTTTAAATTAGGCAGATAGCCTTTGTTTGCTTTGCCAGACCAATCCTTCAAAATATATAGAATTTTTCTCCAAATCCAACACCAAACTAAAACTGAATTTCTATGAACAGCTAGAATGAATATTACAAACCCTGCATAGTATGAGATTTAATACTTCTGACTTCAGGTTTCATAAAATTGTCATTCAAAGCTAAATGATATATAGTTCTAAGAAACTTCTGTGTTCTTCAAGAAATCTCAACATCACAGATACTGAAGTATCACGTAAGACAATTAAGTGCAAGACAGCAAACAAACATAAATGATCCTTAATAGGATAAGCATTCTGATGAATTTGGTTCCGTACATCATTAATTTCTGCATTGAAATAATCAGATCTTGGAAATAATAGAAGAAATAATCTTGGGGTTAAGTTTTGATATTAACATGATCATTTACTTAACATTATCCAAATACTAATAAACTTGATTCTTAAAAAAAATGACAACATTTCATATTACAGTCGTTATTTTCCTTATTTTATTTTGTGTGCATGCATGTGTGTGTCACAAATTTATAAGCATTCTACTGCAGGATTTTATTTTAAAATTTTCAAAACTTCTATGACTAATATGCACTTATTTCAATAAATTCTACAAATAATTGAAAATCTCTAAGACCATGAAGAATCAGAAAACTCCTGGAAAACAACAAATTAGAGGAAGAATTTTGATGAAATTTGGAAAAAAATATAATTACATGATGAATTTTAAATAGCGATAAATATATTTTATGGAAAAAAGTTTCATTTATAAAAACTAACTCGTAGAACAATTTTCTCAGAATGAAGTCTCATAATACAAGAACTAAAGTAATTAAGCATGGAAGACTGTCACTTCTTACAACACAGCAGGACCAAACCATTTATGATAATGTCAATCAGCTCAGGGAATAACTACTAATAGCCCAGTAAATATTAGATGTTCCTTGGTATTAGTCACTTGTTTGAGACAACTAGCATACAAGAGCCATCGAGAAAGAAAAGAAAAGCTGCACATGACTACCTGTTACCATCTGCCTCAGTTAGAGTAAACATTAACCCAGTCAGCCAATTTCATTGCTGTGCGGTCAAGTTTACACTGTTGGCAATTTTTTTAAATAACACTGAGAAAATCACAAAAAGCATGAAATTTGAAGTGCTATTTGATTTTCAAATATGCAGTGTCCCACCTATTGGGATGTATAAGCAAATCAGACAAGTGGTACTGCAATGAATGAGACTTCTGCTAAAAAGGGGCATTTAAAGTTTAATGAAAGAAAGACAAATATGCATGATGAATTTTAGTGGTTGGTCATCACTTCTTATGGTCAAGCTTAAAAAAGTGCGAACAAAATTACTCATCACAAAAGGCACTTTGGTTACTTCACACTATTCTTTTGCGGAAATTTTGAAAGCTATTTTACATTAAGTGGTCACAGATCATCATGATGATAAGAAAATGTCCACTCTGGGTCCTAGACCATTAACAGAAGTCCACTAGATTGATGGAAGCTGCCCTTGATTTTTTACGCGATACCAGGAAGATACTGACAGTTTTAATTCACAGTAATAATTGCAATGGGAGATGAGACATAGGTTTAACACATAAAATACCTAAAAAAACCATAAAATACCTAAATCCAAGTATCATTCAATATAGTGGCATCACACAAGGTAACCTTCAAAACCTAGGAAAGAAAAAGCAAATCTGATCACACGGAAAATAATGGCAGCTGTCTTTTGGGATCACAAGAGACTGTTGCTTATTTAATTCATGCCAAGATGGTGTCAACTATGAAACACTCCAAAAAATTCAACATGTTGGAATTCGGTTGTGATTTCCACTTGTCCATACAGAGATTTCTGCATCCATCTACATAAATGTCAATGCACTCATAATTGTCATTATTACAGTCTCTTTTAATTAAATTACTTGCATAATAGAGGGTGCCTGATTCTCTCTATAATGAAAAATGGCTGGTAATACTTTGAAATAATAATCTGAATTCATACATGAAGAGACAGACTTCCAATGGTTTTCAGCCAACTTCAAAATGACTGTCCACAGTCCAACTCCTAGATGGTCATGAATAAGCTCAGCTCCCATTCCAGTTACGCACAGCAGCGGCAAAAACAGATAAGCTCGTGTTTCAAATTTATGATTGACAGATTTCACACATATTTGGAAAGAAAGAATTGCATAATTTTTCAATTGCCAAAGCATTAAAAGTATATATCTTTAAACAAGGACTCTATATATGGACTCTAGTATTAGTCTATTATAATAATATTTAAATTCTAATTCTTAGATAACTGAGTGTCTATAACTTAGATACTCGGTTAAAGTAAAAAAACATCCAGCAGGTATGAGGAAAAAATTAGAGTATATATTGATCTTGAGCAGAAATCTCAGACATTTTTAAGTCATGTTTAGACCTTCCTTAAGTGAAACTCTAGAATGAGAAATCCATGCTTACAACCCGGTTTCACAAGCTATAAACAATAGAAAAAATCATCAAAATGAGTCACTGTGCCATATTTAAATGACTGATACAAGGAACCAGTTTTTATTTAATTACATAAATTTATCCAATTATATAAACAGATGCAGCCTAGAATGATTTTGATATTTATATAATAGCACAACATTTGTTTATTGGCTATCCTGTCAAGCTTGATGAGGAGTGCACCACTAGGTGAGTTTACCTTGATTTTTTTTTAATTCCTTAAATAATGTAAACCATCATAAAAATAAAACAAGGAATTTCAAATTCTAAAAATGCTTTCTCTTTGAGATAGTTATTTTTATTAATTTTATTATTAAAATTAAAGCATAATAAAACTACATTAGAGATGAAAAATGTGTATGATTAACATAATCTGAATATAATAACATGAAAAATCGGTATAAAATTTCTCTATTCAGACGTCAGTAGATGAGACACCACACCACCAGGACCTGCTAAGAATGATGCACTCATTAGATCTTCATCAATTTGTCGGGCAGCTTGACGCCCTTCTGCAATTGCATTTACAACTAATGACTGACCCATACGGCAATCTGAGAAGGAAAATAAAAATTACAAGCATGTTAAAAAAATATGTAAATTCCTATCATAAAAAAGCATGAAATTATAAATTCATAAGTGAACTTAATCTAAAAAAAATCTCTTTTTTACAGTGCAGATAATAAAATGGCAAGTAATTTTAGAATTTTAGTTAAAGGCATTTTACAGATGCAAATGCAATCAAATTATAAATAAATACAATATAAAACTGATATTTCAAATGTTTCACAGAGCAGAAATAAATGCTATGACATTACTTAGAAATGTTAATCATAAAATTTTATGCATATTTTATTAAAATCTTACAAACTGTTTTTATCATGCTAAGTATATTTGCATACTGTTATACTTAAATTTTTGCATATTTTTTCCTAGAATATATGGGAAAATAAGGAATTACTTGATTTGCTAAGGCTTATTTTAAATAATGGCATGCTTAGATGTATAGTAATTAGATAACATAATATGGACCATCTTTTTGAGCACATTAAAAATGGGTAAGGATTAGATTCCTTCTTTCAAAATTACATTAGTTTACTTTAAATTTAAACTTCGAAAAAAGCATAATCAGAAAGAATGCATTTATATAAAACACAAACTAAAAATATAAATGTGAGGATTATTAAATCTTAGTACTTCTGGAATTAAATTTATGATTTCAAAGCTAATTTAAATTTTTCAAAAATGTCTAAATACTTCCTGCTTTAAGAAACATACTACACCAATGAATACTACATCAATCAGCAATACACAAAAAAGATATTTTAAAAATAAACGTATTTTTACCTCCTGCAGCATAAACTCGAGGAATGGAAGTACAGTATTGACCTTTGGGTGTTTCTATATTAGACCTCAAGTTTAATTTAACATTTATTTTGTTAAGCAAGTCATGTTCAGGACCAAGAAATCCTAAAGCAAGCAGGATTAGATCAGCCTGAAACAGAATTAATATACATATAATGACACATATACCACATAAATGTCAAATAATTCTATATTAACCTAAAAAAGCTTCTAGGAAATTATATATTAACTGTTTTTAGTAAATGATCAAAACTTTCATTTGTTTTCAAATTAGATGACTGAATCAAATTAGTGATCAAAACTTTCATTTGTTTTCAAATTAAATGCATTTTACAGATCACATATCTTTTTATAATGTTTCAAAGTTAGGTAAAAACTATTACTTGATTCACTGTAATTTAATATGTCACATTATTTACCCTTTCACAACTTTACTTTAGATTCATTATTTAATTTGTTCTTATCTACAAAAACTAAATGAGGATTAAAAATTTTGAGAAATAATAAAAAATTCAGTTTTCTGTCTAATTTTAAAATATCTTACTGATTTCATTTCTTAGATCGCTTAAAAAACATTACTGTATCTTAAAATTAATTTCAAAACATATTACAGTACAAAGTCCGGACGTCCATTATCCGGAATGATCTAAAATCCAGATCAAACTTTTTTTCCGGGGGCGGGGGATGCTTTACGCATACACATTTGGTTTTTTCTTCCGTAACAAAACACGTGGAGATTTTCACTTAAAAATTCTGATTCTTAATTTCACTTAGGCACTAAATAAAATACCTCGTCATGGAAAAACAATTATGTAAGCATAAATTTGTGAGATTAATAATTTGGCTCCATAGCTCAGTGTCTGCTTGGCATACATCTCAAACCAAAATAGTCATGTATTTTATATCCCTGATGCCAACCTGGCAAGTCATTATTCATTATATTTTGTTTTCATTACTGCACGTTTATCAGTACATGACAGCTTCAGTAATAACTCATGCAGTGATGTCTAAACTTTTTTTTATATTAGTAATTAATTAACAAGAGTATGGCAACTTTTTATGCTAACATTACGCTTGGCGATGATTATAATTTTTAAGTGCTCTAAGAAAAGTTGAAGAGGGAAATCGACAAAAATTTCTTTCCATATGCTAAAAATAGATTCTGTTAATGAAACTCATAGGCCAAAAGAATACACTTAGTGCTATTTTAATTAAGAATAACTGATATGCTATTCACCATAAACTCACAAGCGGCGGCAGAATATGTCGGCACCGGACAGCAGAATTTAGGGAAGACAAAATATTTGGAATTTGGGAAAGCACCGAGCGGCAAAATTAAGGGATGAGAAATTTTTTATAATGCAAACTTTTTGGAATTGGAAAACATGCACGACCTCGAGCACTTGAAGGAGTAACGATTTACCCCATTATATATCATGCAAATAAAAGAGATACAAGATGGATGATACAAGCATTAATGAATGGGTTTGAAAATCATTTTATACCCGAGGATTTATAACATTTGAATTCAGTTTGGTTTACCTGATGACTCAAAAATAGTCCTGATTGTAGACAACTGTTCGGCTCATACTTCACTTAAAGTTTCAGTTGAAAGATAATGTAACCGTATTATTCTTCCTTCCAAATTGTACGTCCGTACTACAGATATCGGAATAGTGCGCACACTGCAATGTAAATATAAAGTAGCATTTTTTAAATAAATACATGTTAAATTTCTTGAACAATGACAAGACTGTTCGAGAATTTTTGAAATATTTCAGCATAAAATCTGCTGTGTGGAGCATCGCAAGAATCGTGAAGGAATGCGTCTCGTGAAGAATGAATCGTTAAAAAATGCTTAGCATAATTTATGGCCCGCTACCATATTTTATGGTAAGAACGATGATAGCTGCAAATTTGAACGTTTTCGAATATCGCACACTAAAGGTGAAATTTTCCAGTTAATGGACTTTGTAAAGAAATGTGGAGAAGCTGTAATAAATGAAGATGATATAACATAAGCTTTTCATTGTGATGACAATGCCCCAATCATCAATCAATTAACAGACGGCAAAATCTGTAGTATGGTTCTAGATCCAGAAAATAATAGTGAAGAAAGTGACAGAGAGGTTATTGAAAATGAGAAAACTTTGATTGACAAGTTAGTCAATATTCTCGACATAGCAATTATAGGACTTGAACAGTGGAACTTTGTAACTGAACAAGAAATTGTGTCTGTTTATATAATTAAAGAGAAAGTATTAGCACAAAAAACGAAGCAACTTAAAAAACTTACATTGAAAGAAATGTTTAATAAAGTAAACAAATAAAGTTTTTTTTTGGTAAATGTTGATACCCTTTAGATCATAATTACTCTTTATTTCATAAATTACAATTTCATATTTTTAACTGTATAATTTCTGCATGCCATCTTACCAGATTTAAATTGATGATCTAATATCTGGAAAAATATTAAATCCAGAATCACCGAAGTCACAACGTGTCTGGATTTCGGACTTTGTACTGTACATCATTTATAGTGAAAACTATTACTTGATTCACTGTAATTTAATATGGCACATTATTTATCTTTTCACAACTTTACTTTAAATTTATTATTTAATTTGTTAGAAAAACTAAATCAGAATTAAAAATTTTGGGAAATGATAAAAAATTCAGTTTTCTGTGTAATTTTAAAATATCTTACAGATTTCATTTCTTAGATCACTTAAAAGACCTTACTGTATCTTAAAATTAATTTCAAAACATATTACAGTAAGACCCCGCTTAACGCTGTTTCGGTTTAGCGCTCTTTTATTTCAACCCGGGGCTTCTCCGAAATTGTGCGCAGCGCTAGGTTTCCAAATAACATATCCGAAACAGTTGTTTTGTAGTTTTGTTTCTGCTTGTGGATGCATTTTTATCATTTGAAACATTTTTTGACATTATTGTAAGTTTTAAATTTGTATAATACTATAACGATTAATACAGTGACAAATATTATGATCTTTAGTTTTTATCATGGGTGATAATAAAAAACAAGAAAAGAAAGCAACCAGAAAAAGCATTTCACTGGAAACTCAAATGCAAGTGATTAGAAGATAAGATTCTGGTGAACGTCAATCTCAAATTAGTGCTGCATTGATTTTGGCAACTTCAACAATAAGGTCAATTCTTAAGAATAAAGAAAAAATACTGTCATCGGCAACTGCAACTAAGTCAAGCTCTGCAACTAGAATTACCCGTTCTAGAAATAACATAATGGGGGAGAAATAACATAATAGGGGAAATGGGAAAATGACCGTCTATATGGATTGACGACGAAATTGAACACAATATGCCATTATTAAGCCAATCTATCATAATGCCTTCTTGACAAAAAGGCAGCAGAAAATTGGAAACCCAGAATAGACTGAATGATCTGACTGAGAATTTTATTTGTTTTTAAATTTTTAAAAGTATATGCGTTTATATTGTTTTTATTTTGTAAGAAATAAATGTTTGATTTTATTTTTATTAAAAAAAACATTATTAAATTTAATGCCTAACCATTTTTTATCCGTCTTCCCCTAACCCCATTATTTACATGTTAAGATAGCCTTGCTTAGCGCTGTTTCGCATTACGCTCTACTTCAATGGAACGTATCCCCCGCGTTAAGCGGGGTCTTACTGTACTTCATTTATAGTGAATAATGTATTATAGTTTTCCTTTCCTATCTATATTTTAAATTAATTTTATCACTTTTCAGCTATGTAGAGCTAAATTGGATTCAAATGCCTACAGTAAAGTTCATTAAACATTAAGTCCCCATGAACAGTTATTTGATAAGCAGCTTATTATGCCTACAGGGGCAGATAAGTGTATCTATAGCATATCAACATATCCCTTAGTTATTCTGAAATTAAATCTCACTTTTTATTTTAAACTAACTATACAATCACTGCTTCCATGCTAAAAAAAAAAAGGTTTAATCAGAATATTCGTTATCTTCCAATTTTGCACTAATCAATAAAAAATGTTTAAAACAAGCCATATTGAATATTAAAGCCCTATGCATAAATAAATACTGCTGTTACTTCTTTAAATAGAATTTTATAAACTGTTCTGTGATCAAAGGCAAAATTAATTTTCTTTAATGAAAAAATTTTTATATTCTAAACACATATTTGTCCTCTTTTTCTTCCAAAAACATTACATCACGTGCATTTACATATGACATCATACATATTTGGTGGCATATTTTCAAACTTAATCAATGGATTCTTTAATGAGGGATTTGAATGGACAGGAATATATATCCTTAACTACATGTATAACATTATATCCTATTTTTAAAGCTTATGAATTAAATAAATAAATTTATAAAGTAGCGAAAATCTAAACAGTTGAAATAATTATTTTATTTAAACCTTAATAATTTTGTCACATGTTGTTAACTCTTGGGCTTCCCAGCGGCCAGCAGCATTCTTTCTCCAATGAATCTTACTAACACGAATGCCACACACATTTCCTTTTCCATCATCCAAAAACTCCTATGGAAGAAGAATTAATGAACTATGAATACAGTGTTAAAATACTTTTTAAACAGTTTTTTCTTTATGCTAAAATAAAAAATTCCATATTTTCAATTCATAAATTCTGCATTTAGATTATATTTCATTATAGGTATTTCTTTATCTGAAACTGTTTCTTTGAGAAATTTGTCTTTTATTCTACTGAACCAAACTTCAAATATTTAAAAGTACATTTGATCATTAAGAATAATGAATCACATGTATCAAAAAATTTAAATCATAACTTCACAAAATACTAAAAATTAATGCTTTTCAATAAATGAAAATAAAATAATTGCAAAAAAAGCTTTCAGCAGCTTTTTCGCAGGACCACAAAATAGATCCAACAAAATTTTAGTAACTGTTCTTTAATTTCACCTTTGCTTAAGGACTTTTTTATATTAAATAAATATATTTAAAAAACAGAAAGTTATTCTAACTGTATTCTATATCACTCAAACATTTTAATTTATGATTTTTTAAATTAATATTAAATTTATGGAATCACCTTAAATTGTTATCCGGTTTTCTGATATTTATTTTCCAAATTATCCATCAATTTAAAAAGTCCCTTAAAAGTAAAAATAAAAAAGGAATTTTTCCTAAGAAACAAAAATACATGTTTCATTAGGTTGTTTGAATATGGCAATGCAAATGATGGCTATCTGTCTAATAGGAGGTATCATGGAGGATTATCTAAGGTAGAGTTTCTTAAAGTGTGGGTCGCCAAAAATTTTAGCAGTTTTGATAGTTCTTTAACTTATTACAATAATTTTACAATTACCAAATATTTTTTAACACAATGTATCAGAAATAGATAAAGATAAGACAATACAGACAAAGAAAAAACAAAAACGTTTCGACGCGTTCTTTTTATAATATAAACGTTCATTTGCCTTGCTCATGCGTGTGTCGGATTTGTGCAATACTTATGGAGTCCCACAAAATTTTTTTAAATATTATGGGGTCTTGGAGGTCACAAAAATATCTCAGTTATAAAAAGGGGTTGTGACTGAAAAAAGTTTAAGAAACCCTGGTCTAAGGCAAACTAGCTTGCATTCAATTTATGCATGGGAAAGAACTAAAAAAGTAACCATGCAGCCAGTAAGTTCACCTGGAATAGAATAGAATAGTCAAACTCCCATTATTCAGTGATCCAAAGATATAAATGTGACAAAAAAAGCATGGTATTAAATAGGTTACAATCTGACAAACTGCAGAAAAAAGGCAAAACAACATGCATAAATAGAGACAATAATTTTTGTTTTTTACATTATCTAAACTTCATTTTCTAAAATTTCTTACACAAAAATAAGTAAAATTATTTCATACCTTGAAATGGAAAACTTTAATTCATAATTTCTAATAATTCTAATAAGCCATGATCAATTAAGAAAACTGGGAGCAAAATTTTAACGACATACCTTTGGCATAACGTTATAGCACCTAGGGTCTTTCCCAAATTTTGCTTTGATGTCACTGTGTCCATATTCTATTTTAAATGCTCGAGATAGCTGAGGCCATACATTTACAGGTGGCCTAGTATCAGGAGGTTTGGAAAGAAGTTCTAATGTAGTAATATTTTTAGCATTCTGAAAAATAAATAAATAAATAATAAAAATAATTGTACTTCAAACGTTACTGCATATCTGTAGATTTTTTTTACATTTAGTGGTAAGTATTATGACATTTTCAGTGGTAAAATCTGTAAACTAGAGAAAATGGTGATTATTTCATTGGAACTTCACGTTTGTGACCATAGCAAAACTATTTGCATTGTAACCTTATTTCAGACATATCTGATAATACGGGGGTTGTAAATTAAATAGTGGCAACTTCACCTTGAAACTCGCAGAAGGGCGGGCATGCACAAATAGGATATGGGAGCGGTGAGGTGGCGCTGTTGTCGATGTGTAGAGTGCAAGAAACAGTCGATCTTCTTAGAAGGGTAGTTGTTGTGTGGCGTTAAAGTGAGGAGCTTCGTTTTCATCGCTCTAAAGCATGTTTTCAAAAGATGATCAGCGGCCATGGCTTAAAATCAAGGTTGCACATGGCAAAAATGCAACAGAATGCTATCAAGGATTAGTGGAAGCCTGTAGCACAAATGCTTTACCGTATAGAACAGTAGTACGATGGGTTCAAGCATTTTGTTCGGGTCGGAATGAGACCATGGATTTGCACCGCACAGGTCGGCCCTCCATTCCTCAAGAGCAGATTGACATCCTGAGTGGTCTCCTTACAATAGATCGCCGATGGACAGTCCAAGAATTATCCTTAGAGGTTGGTCTGAGTCACCAAACGGTGTGGCGCATAATGAAGAAATCTCTCAACATGAGGAAGATTGCTTCCCGCTAGGTTCCACATCGACTAACCGAAGCACAAAAATGGCAACGGTATGCACTGGCTGGCACCCACTTGGAGAGATACCGCAATGACAGAGACACATTTCTGCAGCGTATTGTCACCATTCATAAGACATGGGCACGAGCCTGAATTAAAGCGTCAATCAAATGAATATCGTCACCAAGGTTCGCCACGTCCACAGAAATTCCGACCGGAACCCAGTCGGGTGAAGGTTATGGTGATTATGGCATACGACTGGGATGGTGCGATTCTTACACATACTGTACCTGAAGGACAAACTGTCAATGCAGATTTCTACAGCACCATCTGTATCTGGCTATGTGGCCCAAATGTCCACATTTATTGCACAACAATCTCCCTACGGTATTGCATGACAACGCTCATTGCCATGTCACAAAAAATGTCACTCTTCTTTTGCGTCGGTAGCAGTGGAAAATTCTGGAACACCCTCTCTACTCACCCGAAATGAGTCCTTGTGACTTCGATCTGTTTCTGAAGTTGAAGGAACCCCTCCGAGGTCACTGATTTCATAATTTTTCATCTATGCTCTACGCAGTAGGGCGCTCGGTCACTCACATCAACAATTAACACCTTGCCACTGATCTACAATGGCTTCCTGACATTTTGCAAGAGGTTATAAGCTTTGCTAGTGATTACATAGAAGGAATGTAATGCAATTGTACTTGTAAGTTCATTAAAAATTGATTTATACCTATGTTGCCATTACTTAATTTACAGCCCTCGTAAGACACAAAAAAATAATACTTTGAAATGAGAAAGTATACATATTCATAACAACACATATGTGTCAGATTACAGAAGTATGAATTTTGCAATAATTTTGCCATTAATAAATGTTTACAGCGACAAAAGGTTTCTTAGAGAAATTCTTTGAATTCAATGTTTGTACTACAATTTCCTCTCATATCCTCCAAACCTAATTCCATATTTTCACTAAAGGATTTCCAAATAAGATGTGGCTCATAATTATGTTAGATATAAGGAAAACAAAGAAAACACCCATGCAGACAGCCCTTTCAGTTAAAATTAGGTCAAACTACCAACATTCAGTTATCTTATCCATTTATCGATTAATGGTCAGTAAACACTGAGAAATTAATATACATATCTAAAGAGGAACACAACAGTATACCAAATAAGTTATAACAGTTAAAGAGGTTTTTATGGCACTTCACAATAGTTTAAAACAGTAATTTTAGAATACTCTTGTTTTTGCACTCGTACAAAATTTTCTCATATGCATCTTCAGCAGCAAGTTCAACTGAGATACTTCCTATCAATATGCTGACGAGCAGCTTTATGGTTTTCACGGAGGTAAGCAGATAAAAAATTTATTATGGCTAAGTATCTGGAGGCTATCTGTCATCTGAAGAATAATTTTGTAGAATTTTTTAAAGTTTTTTCTTTTAATTAAGCGCTTTATTTCACTTTATTATTTCATGATTTCATTAAATACATTTATAAATTGATGACTAAAATATATAAAATTATTAAAATTTTCATTTCAGTTATATGGAATTAAATTTTAAGCAAAACTTAATGCATTAAATCAATAAATAATTTCATAACTCTCTTTTCTGTTGTTTCTATGCAGAGAAATAAACATGAAAAAACAAAGAAAATGAATAACTTTATCTATATATATAGAGAGAGAGATAAAGAAATAAATTGAATTGGTATGCATGAGACAAACAGCTTTGATAAAAAATCTAATAGTACCTCTCTCAAAGCAGTGGCAATGCAATCAACACCTGTATCACCACCACCAATAACTACTACATTTTTGTTACAGGCCTTTCCAGCAGGACAGCCATATTCTTCTTGATGCAGCTGACTTTCCTCTAAATAATCCATAGCAAAATGTATACCTTTCAAATTGCGACCTAAATAATTAAAAGAAAAATAATTACAAAATTAACTTTTATTAGTTTTTAATATATTTTTAAGCTTATAGTTATTTATATTTTTAAATCTGGAAAAGGGGAAGGAAGAGGAGGATAAAATTCTAAACAAGAAATAGTTTAATACAAAAAATAAATTAGTAAATTAACAGTAATTGGCAAAAAGACTAAAGAGTTTTAATGATTAAAATGTTACAAACTTCCCCTGTTCTCCTTAGGTTTAATACCAGACGGATCATCATTTCCTTTTTTAACTATCAGACATGAAATATAATAAAATAATAAATTATTCAGTCTATGAATTAATTATCATATTTCCAAGTCTGAATCCTTCTTTAGAAATTTCCTTCCGCAGAAAAATTCACTTTTATAAGATCAAAAATATGTCTATACTTGAAAAATTATATCAGATAAAATTATTCAGTAAATGACAAGTACAGCATCATCAACTTTTACATTATTTGTATATTTACATAATTTTATAATTACATAATTTCAATTATTTATTAATTTTATTAAAATATTAAAACAGAAATCATAGAATAGAAATATTACTTCTTAATATTTCTGTTTTTGATAAACAAACAAAAGTTTAGGTTTTGTTACTTTTAGAAGTATAATTACAAGCAAACCCTGAGCATGCTTCTTTGCAAATTGTTTATATTGAAGATTTTAACTTGGCCTTTTATGCAACGATCAATAGCAAATATGCTTGTATCTTAAGTGTACGTTGATTAATTTAAAAATCTATGAAGTCATTTGATCAGTCTGGTTAGCTTGTTTGTTTAATCCCTTATAACAAAGCATATAAAGGCTATCTGCATTTAAGGTGGATACTTTCATGGATGACATTTTAAGAAAAACTGGTTCATACCATGCTACAAATGCAGAAAATACTAAAAATGCTCCTACAGCCAGCTTGTCTATGATGATCTGCTCTGATATAAATGAAGATATAATATTTACATTAGTTGTCCAACTTCGAATTCATAAGTCATGTCTATATTTTTTTTAACAAATGAAACTATACAGGCTATTGGCAAAATTCAAATCTAGTTTGGCATTGATTCCAAACTTTTCTAGCTGACTGCCTAATTGCAATGATCTTATTTCATAAACTGAAATGCTAATTTTCGTAAACTTCAGGTGCATTGGATTCATATTACATGTGCATTTCAGGTATAATGGCACTAAATTATTTGATCATGTGAACCAAGTCTTTTGTACCTTGGAAAGGAACATGGGGCATTGAAAACAAGAAATTATGGATCCATCTTCCCAAATTATTATCATAATAGTGGTGACTATGGAAAGGAATTTTCTCAGAGAAAATATAAACCCATATAGTGTATCTGAAGCGGTTCCTAATGCTACATGTGACCAGAAATGACATGCTGATCATACACATCCTTTCACAGTCTTAAAACGTTCAGAAAGGAGTGGTTTTCTGTAATGTAGATTATTGGCAAAACCCAATAATCTACATTATTGGTAGATTATTGGCAGTCTAATTAAGTAGATTCTCATAAAAATTGTGAGCCATAGCCTGTTTCAACATTATATGCCATTTCATTATATATGTTGATCCCAGATTTACGAATTTGAAATTTTGCTTGACTTAATTTTATAGAAGGGCTCCTTGTAGACTTTGAAAAGTTCCTGAGTGGCATGGAACTCTGACAGTGGTACAGTGGACAGGGCACTGTTACAGAAAACCACTCCTTTCTGAATGTTTTAAGACTGTGAAAGGATGTGTATGATCAGCATGTCATTTCTGGTCACATGTAGCATTAGGAACTGCTTCAGGTACACTATGGGTTTATATTTTCTCTGAGAAAATTCCTTTCCATAGTCACCACTATTATGATAATAATTTGGGAAGATGGATCCATGATTTCTTGTTGTCAATGCCCCATGTTCCTTTCCTAAGGTACAAAAGACTTTGTTCACATGATCAAATAATTTGGTGCCACTATACCTGAAATGCACATGTAATATGAATCCAATGCACCTGAAATTTATAAAAATTAGCATTTCAGTTTATGAAATAAGACCATTGCAATTAGGCAGTCAGCTAGAAAAGTTTGGAATCAATGCCAAACTAAATTTGAATTTTGCCCATAGCCTGTATAGTTTCATTTGTTAAAAAAAAATATAGACATGACTTATGAACTAGAAGTTGGACAACTAATGTAAATATTATATCTTCATTTGTATCAGAGCAGATCATCATAGACAAGCTGGCTGCAGGAGCCTTTTTAGGATTTTCTGCATTTGTAGCATGGTATGAACCAGATTTCTTAAAACGTCATCCATGAAAGTATCCACCTTAAATGCAGATAGCCTTTATATGCTTTGTTATAAGGGATTAAACAAACAAGCTAACCAGACTGATCAAATGAATTCATAGATTTTTAAATTAATCAACGTACACTTAAGATACAAGTATATTTGCTATTGATCGTTGCATAAAGGCCAACTTAAAATCTTCAATATAAACAATTTGCAAAGAAGCATGCTCAGGGTTGCTTGTAATTATACTTCTAAAAAGTAACAAACCTAAAACTTTTGTTGTTTATAAAAAAAAAAAAACAAAAAATTAGAAGTAATATTTTATTCTATGATTTCTGTTTAATATTTTATAAATTAATAAATAATTGAAAGTATGTAATTCTAAATTATTTAAATATACAATATATAAAAGTTGATGCTGTACTGTCATTTACTGAATAATTTTATATGATATAATTTTTTCAAGTATAGACATATTTTGATCTTATAAAAGTGAATTTTTCTGCGGAAGGAAATTTCTAAAGAGGATTCAGACTTGGAAATATGATAATTAATTCATAGACTGAATAATTAATTATTTTGTTATATTTCATGTCTGATAGTTAAAAAAGGAAATGATGATCCGTCTGGTATTAAATCTAAGAAGAACAGGGATAATCCTTCAGCCTAAGAGCAGAAATGCCTTCATAGAGGACTTCTTATAGGAAGTTGGTTCGTACTTTTATTACACAAGGGAAAAAAACAACGAAATTTCCCATTCAGCCACCCTTATTTACCAGAATCTGAACCTATGTCAAATTATTAGTGTTCAGCAGTTTTATTGTTTGGCAATTAGGTGGAATGCAACCTTTCAATATTAGTTGGTATTATCAGTGCCTCAGAATGTTCACGGCTATCCTTCATGGTAATGGAGATATGTTTCTAATGTCATAAACTTAAAAAGTATCGCTAATATTTCATCATTCAGTGAAAAAGAATCCTTTACACAATAATACTTTTATGTTTAGAAAGTTCTTGGATCATGTTTATAGAGCAATTCTATTTGAAATGTGTGAAATCATTACTTAATCACCTTCAAAATAACATCCATCAGAGCATATACACTAGTTTTAGCCGTTTTGTCAATCCTGGAAACAGACAGGAATTACTGTTTCTTTAGATATGTCTCTCAGACTCACTACCTCATCATTTTATATAATTTGAATTACATAAAAACATTCATTGCCCAGGAACCATGTTGATAAGAGAGAAAACAGTAGAATTAGAGATGGAGAAATTTAGCAAATATGGTTGTGGCATTACAGTACCTGTTTCTGATACAAAAAACCAAAATTTCTTTGCTCAAACATCTTACTTCACAAAAAATGATCAAAGCATGCTTTAATTTCATTTACTCCACCATATAAACTAGACTGCTACAGTTGGTGTTATTTCATACATTTCTTCAACAGCAGATCATGCAAATATCTTCTGACAGATGAATTCAACTACTGCAAGTTTGAAGCACAACATGATGTTTTTGCAAACTTTCTGAACAAAGGAGTAGAGGTATAGCATTTCACAAAAAATTAATTAATTTAATAATTAGAAATAATAGATAAGAAGAACAGACACCTGAAATGAGAGTAACTTTCATTTTCAACTGTTTATTACAATACACGTGCATAAAATCATTTTAGCTCAGTTGCAATAATTATTCATATGTAATAACTAACTGTAATAAAAATCTTTTTTCCATTTCTACTTAATTAAATAATATTTAACTAGTATTAGTTAATAATATTATTTAACTAGTATTATGGTTATTTTAAGTTAAATAATATTTGATTTTTAATAGCTGTAGTAGTAAATAATATTTAACTACTTTTAAAACTTTGGTTGTTTGAAAATACACATTCTGAATTTACTGCATGAAGAAATATTTACCTACTAGTGGTAAATCTCGAGGTCGAGTAGAACCTACAGCAAGCAGTACAGCATGATGTGAAAGTAGGTCTTCCAAGCTTACATCTTTACCAACCTCATGATTAGGAAGAAAAACAATACCTTCACTTTTCATTAACTCCAGTCGTCGTTCAATCACCTGATATAGAAAAAAGAACACTTAGTAACTAAAATATTTCACAAGTTCAGTTGGTAGAGTAACAAAGAAAATATTCTTTTCATTAACATATCACATTATCTAAAGTGAGAAATTAGATTACTAAAATGAAGGTTGAAATATAACAAAAATTTCACAGCATTCAGAAAATTTGTTACTTTTGTTAGTATTTCAACTACCTCATAATCATTGTCAGACTGAAAACTAGAAAAGATTGCTCGAAAGCTCTGATTGATCCATATTAATATAAATAAAACAACAAAACACATGATCTATCTACACTGATAACAGAAACAACTAAGAAGCAGAAGTCATGGATCAACCTTAAGTTCTCATATAAACCAATAATAGAATAGTTCATATTCTGCAAGTAAAGAATTTCTCAGCATTTTAATCTAATGAGGATCATAAAGGCTAGGGGCAGTTTAAAAAAAAACTTAGCTATTATGAACTTCTTAAATACATCGACTCCAACTTACAACACATCTTGTGAGCAGTCAATGAGCAAATGATATTTTTACATCTTTAAAAATTTGCATATAAAGTACATATTTTTATTTACCAGTCCATATTTAGTTTAAAATCTGTAAATATAAAAAACTGAAAGAATTTTTGTAAATTATATGTATATTTAAATATAAATTTTCATTTATTACTCAAGTAGAAATGTCACTAAATCTATTTTGAAGTGAATATTTTAAATTATAAATAATCAAATAAAGAGAGAATCAGAATCCATAAGCCAAAAATGTTTATGAGATTTTGGGATTCTAACTTCTATATGGTAAAAAAAAATAAAAAATAAAATTACAAATATAAAGATTTTTGAGTAACATGCTTAGCAAGCTTAAGTTGTGAATCACAGAATCTTTTTCTATAACATAGTTTTTTGTTTGCTTGCATGATTACTTTTTAAATAAGAATTCCTGCAATGCTTCCACACCTGGTTGAAATGAGTCCAAATAAGGTTGTCTGGTTGAAATTCAGGTAACTCTCGTTGAAATGCAGTCTGGCACTTTTTGAAAATTTAAAAAATTTTTCAATGGTTCACTTTAATGAGGTATTATTAAAAACTGGAAGCATCACAAAGGCAATATTTTGTATTTAATGCTGTTATTACCACTTTACAGTGGTAGACAATTGAAACCATGATTAAGACATAACACCATGATTTAAGGCAATATTTCATCAGTGGCATGCTTAACTACATGTGGTAAGTAAAACATGAATACAAACCTATATAGGCATCTGGTTCTGGACACCTGAATTTCTCTCATGTAAAAGGGATATATTTCTCTTATGTGATGTTCATCCTAACTGAATTAAGTTGAAGATACAAGATGCATAGAAGAGATATAATGCATGCAAGAATATAAGATACATTCAAGGTAATGGAAGAGACTACTTATATATTCTCCTTTTGAAATCTATTGTATTATCTACATGTCTCTGTGGGAAAAAGTCCCGCATAGTGAATATCCTTCAAGCTATAAAAGGTTACAAATCACATAACTGCAGGTAACATAAGACAAAACATGCAGAATCATATTTAACCTCCACTGTCAATAAATAAATTTTAAAAAATGTTCTTCGAACTGAAAGTTAAAAGTAATTTTGCAGTTAAATAAAAAATATAGATGCAATTCGTTGCTTTGCTTTCTTGGTATGCAACAATGAAGGAAAGAATAATTACATAAAAAACCCTTACAACAACTAATAAACTTAAGTTAAATAAATTAATAATTTGCATTGAAAAACATTCAGGTTTAAAACAAAAACCCTTAAAACTGTATTTAAAAATGGTTCTACATGAAATATAATTCATCCAATAAAAAATAACAAGAGGAAAATCAAGAGGAATAAATTGTGCAATGTATACTATACCTGACACAGACTTTTAAATGAAAAACATGGCATACTAAGAGAGAAGCATATATGAATAGACATATAAATACTTCTGTATTCTATATTTCAAAGAAAATAATTACAATAGAACTCTTTTAAACTAACATAATATGCTTTTTTATTTATGCACATATATTATGCTGCTACCATAAATCAAAAGTTTAAAAATAATATGCTGAAAAAAAGAAAGTCAAATATACAAGGAAGAGGAATATGAAAGTACAATATGTTTTAACAAAGGAAAAAAAAAATTAAAGCTTACATCTCTGCTAAGCTTCATGCTGGGAATCCCATATCTCAAGAGACCTCCAATCTGACGACTTTTTTCATACACTTTAACAAAATGTCCAGCCTGTGATGCAAGCACTATTTTAAATGATGCATACAACAATACAATGTTAAAATTCTTACATTACAGAAGTGATAAAAATTACTATATTTTTTAATTATGTTCTGTATGAAAAAAAGAACAGATAAAAGTATTTAATGAAGAAATGTTGAAAATTTATCAGAGATTTTTTCTAAATTTCTATAAATAAAATTTATTAATTGTAGTGAAAAATTTATTGATTGTCTCTTTTGACAACTAATATATCAGTAGTCCTTGAGTGATAGAACTCTCGTGAATTGACAGTGTTATTGGAGATTTCCACAGTTCTGTGGCCCACAACATAACCAATGTAATTCCATATTTCACTTTGGACATTCAGAAGAACACAGCACATGCCTTTGGAAAAGTAGTTCTTCACAAATAAACATTCCATAAAGTGAGAGTGAAGAGGGACTGATCACAGAATTATACATATTTTGCATTGCATTATGTCCAAGTTTTATGCTCTTGACACTCCTGGTATCAACATTTAGATAAGAGCTGATTATCAAAGGCTTTACTATATCTGCTCAACCATGAATATTAAACCTAAAAAATTCCAGGCAAGTAGCTCCTCTAGAACTGAGTTCAATAGAATGCTGAAGTCTGCCATAATATGAACAACAGTTACAAATATTTTTGGACACAATTATTTTCAGCACTTCGACTGATTTTTCAGATAACTTTTTCTTACCTCACCATTTCCAAAAAAGATACGACTCTAAATATTCCTACGCTCAACCCTCTAAGTGGCAGTTTTCTGGGTCGGCTTATGAAGAACTGTTTTAGCCCTGAGCATTAGAGGTTTAGCCCTGAAATTTCAAAGTTCCTCAAAATGTCGCAAATAAATTATATTTTCTTGATTATAATTAAAAAAACGACTCTCTCACTTTGTACCTTGACTCCTTTTCTTCTAATACACATCCAACCTGAAATCAGATACATTAATAGCTAGCAGAAATTTTCGTGTGTAATGAATATGAAAACCACCCTTCTAGACGGAATTTTACGTCCATAATGCTGAGAGGGTGAAAACATCATTTATTAGCTAAATTTACATAATTACTTAGTTTAATCTCTTTATTATAAACTTCTATTCATTAAGATGATATTTACATTAGTAAAGATAGTAAGAAAGCAATTTTTTTTATTTGGTAGTTATTAGTTTATAATTTAATTTAAATTATAAACTAATAACTACCAAATAAAAAAAATCATACGACTAGATAAAGGTGATCTTGCCATTCGGGAGGTTGATGCATCTACATGACCCGTTCCCTTGGTAACAAATGCACCAGTCACATGAGCAGTAAAAAAATTTTCCCTTTTGAATTATATGTCTTTTATTTATCTCTAATAATTTTTAGTGTTTGAAGTCAATGCCTCTAAAATTTCACACTCTGTTACTGCTGATAAAATTCAAAACAATTCAGGGTTCCCAACTGGATTTCCCAAGCTAACTTGAAAGTTAGTATGTTACATTCATTTGAATTTCCAACCATTATAACTGATACAGTCAAAAGTCGTTAATCCGGACTCGTCGGGACTTTGGCGATTCCGGATTATAGATTTTTCCGGATTATAGATCATCAGTTTAAATCTCGTAATATGACATGCAGAAATTCTAAAATTAAAAATATGAAACCGTAATTTATGAAAATAAAGAACAATTATGATCTAAAGGGTATCAAAATTTACAAAAAAAAAAAAAAAAAGCTTAATATTTATTTGTTTAATTTATTAAACATTTCTTTCAATGTAAGTTGTTTAAGTTGCTTCGTTTTATGTGATCATACTTTCTCTTTAATTCTATAAACAGACATATTTTCTTGTTCAGTTACAAAGTTCCGCTGTTCAAGTCCCGTTAATTGCTGTGCCGAGAATACCGATTAATAACTTGTCAATCGAAATTTTTTCGTTTTCACTAACCTCTCTGTCACATTCTTCATCTTTATCCATTTTTTGCAGCAATTTCACTTTTTGTTTGTTGGACATCGAAACATACTTTCATTTTGTAGATCCTTTGGAAGTTCCAGCATCGGAAATTCTATTTGTCATATTTGACATAATCGAAAGTTCAAGTTTACTTTTATAAAATTGCTCTTACAGTCTGCAAAAAATAATAAGCAGGATAAAATTCGAAGATTAAGGAACAATGCAATCATTAACATTAACTGAAATAGATAATTAGATAATTTTAGCTTACACCGTCCGTTATACATTAAATGCGCAGGCGAAAACGTATTCTGCACTTGTGCACACGCATATGCGCAGTAGTCAAGGTCTTACGTGCACGCGTAAATCGCACGTGCGCATGTGCCAACGCGGCGCATGCGCAGAAAGTTTTTAGCTTTGAGGTCCGGATTATAGATCATTCTGGATTATGGGTGTCCGAATTAACGACTTTTGACTGTATATGTTCCTAGTCGATATCGAAATTTTAACATGATCAGAAAACTTTTCTTCAATACTGCACCTTTCAAATCGGTCTCTCCTCACAATCACAATAGTCTTAAAAAATCTATTTATTAATCTTGGATATTTGAAACCTGTAATTCATAAAATTACACTATTCAAAATACTCTGGTACAGAATGGAGTGAGTTTATATAATTTACATATCACTTTTTTCCTTAAATACTGTGCATATGTGTGTAGGTGTGAAGAAGAGATCTATCAAATACGAATAACTGAATAACATGTTTTTAAAAAAACTCATAATATTTTTTTTGCGAGCACTTTTAATGGTTTCCTCTTTTAATGTACAGCTTTCAATTAGTTTTTAGAAAAAATTTATACCCATAAAAAGATTTGCATTATTTTTTTAATTTAATTTTACTTTTATTTTAAATTATGAAAAAATAATATGGTGGTTAATACCTGCTGCACTGGAGTACTAAATTGCCTTTAATTATTTATTCATTTGCTTCCAGGATTGTACCTACCCTAGATTGTATCCTAGATTATACATAATGATGTTTTCATTCCATCTCCATGATTTATGAAATTTTTACTTAAAATTAGTCAGCTCTCCACTGTCAAAAGATACAAATTCTTAATTAACTGTCTCTTACATTTTATTCACATTAATTCTTCAGGAAGTTGGATGACTTTAATTTTTTTTTTTTTTTTTTTTTTTTTTTTTTTTTTTTTTTTTAATTTCTGTGTGTGTGCATGTATAAATGTAAATGCATAGACATAGAGGAAGATAGAGTTCTAAAAGGTCTCGGTAGATATAATAAATATTAGACCAAAATATACAGATATTTATAAGTTAATTTATACAAAATAAATTAAGATAAAAGTGAAAACAGAATTTATTGTTGAATATATTCAGGTTACAATCATAAAAGATTGTAGCTGTTGGGAGTAACACTAATATTGCATTTTATTCTTTAGCCATTAAACCTTGATTTAAAAATGCACTGACATGTACAGCAGATCTAATAACATGTTTTGTATATTAAAATAAACAAAACATTTTAGTACATATTAGTTAAAACATGATTAAATATCAAAAAAGAACCTAAGATTTAGTGATAAAAAATTTTACACTAATATTTGAACAGTTAAGTATTTTTCCACTGACTGATGCCAAATGTCAGTTATAGGTAAGAGTAATGTCACAAAACATGCATAAAATCTGTGTTTTCCTTTTATGTAACCCCTACTGATCCTGAATAAGCCATCTTTTGTTTTTATAAATATACATTAACTGTTCTTGCTGTATTTTAGAAAAATAAAAAGTTCAAGGGCTGTAGAATCACCTTTGTGACTGCACTCCAATTCATTTACATCTGGTCAAAAGTATTAACATCAGTTGAATTGGGTAAAGAACAGATGCTTGAGAAAATAGTAATAGATTGGAGCAATCATCTTCAGAAAGTTTGTACTCACAACAACCTAACCAATGGTTCAGATACAATTAGAAGGTCTAACAAAATAACAGAAATCAATGAAAGCCATTTTATGAAGCACAAAATTGAGGCAGATTGAATACTTATGCAGGAGTGGGTATTTGGTAGATTGTGCAGAGCGATAAATGAACATTTTATTGCAAGAGTTGCAACTAGAAGTGCAGATGAAAATTCCACATGAATGATTGGTGCACTTTGAAGGAATCTCTGGCAACTTTCATGGTTAAATAGTAACCAACTTTTACAGCTGTTGGGAGTAACAATACTTTTGATCAAATATTATGCATGGAATAGCCAAATGAAAAATTAATGCAACATTAAAAATATAAATCATTGGCTCTGGTTAGCATCCAGAAATTTTATTTTGTATTTTACAAACTGAATTTTAACTTTTCTTGCAAAAGTTTTAACCCCGAAATGCACGTTTTGTAAACAATTTAAGAGAAAAGCTGGGATTTCAAAAATAAAAAATTTTATCTAGAAATTATAAATATACTTTATTGAGTTGAGATGCAGCAGCCAGACCAGCAGGGCCACTCCCAACTATAGCAACTGAGAAACCTGATCTAACACATGGTGGATTAGGTTTCATCCAGCCTTCTTCAAATGCTTTTTCTATAATAGCACATTCTATGTTCTTGATGGTAACTGGTGGTTCTATCAGTGCTAAGACACATGCTGACTAAAAAGAAATACAGGAATGAATAAGCATAAGAAAGGAATAATTTAAAAAAAAAACTGCAGTTTTAAAATAAAATTTATATTTTACATTTTTATTAAAAACATACAATTACAAAGAATATAATATGGTGCCAACAGATATAGTTACAAACATAAGCAAAGTAGTGTTTGATATTAAGCTTATCAAATTTAAATTTGCATTCATTATTTAAAAAACTTGAAATCTGAAAATAGCTTACAATTTGAAAAAGAAGAGTTTACGATAATCTTTTTTAATTAGAAAATGCTTTTAAAAAAATTGTACATTATGCTACTCCCCATTTTTAACTAAGTATAATATCCTCTGTTATCAGTTTGTACGGTACAGCTTGTACAGAAGCTTAACACAATGTCCTACAGACCCTACTAGACTGACAAGCAAGTTATTGCTCCAATCTGAAATCAAATGACAAGAAGTGTTAAAATAAGCTTTTTACTTAACTCTTGAAATTAACAGAAGGCACTGCTTGTGCTACAGACTGTAACTCTCTACTTGTGGGAAGTTAAATTCAAATTTAGGTAACACAGTCTAAGACTACACACAGAATAGTGTATTTAAGCTGGTTCAAATAATTAACGTCACACATTTAAACGTCAACCATCAAATGGCTAAAGCCAAAATAACTTTGGCAGATCTATCAATAGTATGTAACTGCAATGTGAGGCTACCAATCCAAAACATTCAAAGCTTAAGTGCACAGCAACAAATTTATGTTCTTATGAGGACTACAGAAAACAGTTAAAGTAAAGATTCAAATCATAATAACTGAATAATTAATATAAAATCCTACATGTTCATAAAACTAAATCTTTATTGCTGAAAAAAAGCTCAATAATCTGTTTATGTTGAAAGTCAAAAATAACTTTAACTCCTTAATATTTGTTTTATTTCAAGAAAGAGAGTAAAAATATAAACAAATAAATTGATGGAGGGAAATATAAATTTGAATATTCTTTGTTTTAGCAATATTGACAAACATAAAAATAAATCAAACAGCTATTCAAACACAATATGTTCATTACATTTTGATAACCCAAATTTTAAAAGCACATAACTCACACTTATATATAAGTACAAAGGGGCTACTTTTAAAATTTTTGCTTCCCTTTCAAAAAATTACGCTTTTACCATTAAATAAAACTGAAATTCAACTCACATAATTTTTCAGTTTTAAAAGTCAAGTGCTTCATTTTTCAAAATTATTGATGCTATTTTCTGCAAATCTAAATCAAATTTAAATTAAAAATGCAGAGTTTTGTAAATATATTGTTTTGTTTGTAGTCTATATTTAACTAAAAAATTTTACCATAACCACTAAATTTTATTCTGGATGCAGACAATTATTACCCATAAAAAAATTTGAATTTTTGTAACTGATCTTTTACCAGGATGCTAGAAAACTTATTTCATTTACAGCACTCTTACTAGAAAATAACATTTACTGTAAAATGTCATAAATAATCAGATAAAATGACTGATTATTTATGACATTTTACAGTAATAACCTGACATTGAAATAAATAACCTGCTTCCCTGTTAAGAAATGCACTTTAACAATACAGAAGATAAATGAAAGATCTTTTGCATTGTTGACTCACAACAGTATCTATTTAAAATGGATGGGATTTTATTACTTACTGAAAACGATAAAATCTCATTGAGGCATTAAAAATCCTTCATTTCCTCACAACTGCACACAGAATTACAAAAACATAATCATAATTTTTATTATTTACTAATGAGAAAAGATTAAATAACATAGAATGAGTAAATATTTAGTTCAAAATTTTAGTTCCCCTCACACCATAATACACAAAAATTACTTTCAAAACTTTATACATATTATGAAGCAAACAAGGAAGAACAAAAAATAGGATAAAATACAATCATTCAAATAAATTGAATAAAATATGGACATAGACTTGCTAATTACATATTTAACATACTTCACAAGGGGCAGGGCATACTCTTCCTGTAAACTCAGGAAAATTGTTTGTGAGCAACAGTTGCTCTAAGGCTTCTTTCCAGTCACCCTTAAAAGAAAAATACAGTTTCTTATATTAAAAAAGGCACTAAAATATATTAACATAGTTAATTCTATGTTAAATTCTGTTAAAGAAGTTTTTTATTAGCTGAGGATGAAAGTTCCATAAAAATTTTCAGTTGCTTTCACTGCTATGAGAACTTTCACAGAAAATTATATAATATTTATGCTACATAAAGGTAAAACCAAAATAAAACCATGAAACCAACCTGTTCATTGGGATTCAAACCCAGATTGTACAACTAAAATTCAGCATTTTTAAATGCTCAGCTGATGATGGGACTCTTACAACTTAAAAAAAATTGTTAAAGAATTATAACATATGAGCTTATCTCGCCAAATTGTTTTATTCTGTTAGAAACATTTTATTTATTTTTTTAGGTTGGAAAAATTATATTATATTATGGTTTCATGCATTAAAAAGAATTTTAGCTACGGGTGAAATTTAAGTAATATGATAATTAGATTCACAATCACAATACATACTTACACTTTTTATTAAATATAACATGAGTTTGTAGATTGGAATTAGTCATTTGACAAATTTGAAAACAATAAAGTTGTATGTTAAATTTTTCAGTAGAGATAACAGATAATACAACAACAAGTATTAATTATTAAATTCATTTGTACCTCACCTGATAAACTAAATCATTCCATTTTGGAATAATATTGCCCAAAGGACATCCACTGTTAGATTGGCAGAAAGGAACGCCACAGTCCATGCATCTAGAAAATACTTTCAAGTAAATATGTATATATCTTAAATCTGAAATTTGTAATAATGACATTTATTGAGAACCCATATAAATATTTCGAACACAACAGGGAGAAATTTTTCTTTTTTCTTTTCTTTTTTTTTTTTTTTTTTTTTTTTTCTCTTCTGAATATCACTATACTTTAGTTTAATTTTTATTCTAGTTTATTGCTGCACTTTCCTCTTATGTATCCTAAATAATCATTCAAACTAACTATAACATTACATTTTCTCAAGTGTAATTAAAAATAGAATTTAATTGAAATAATAATACTATGCAAACTTCCATATACTGTAACTGCCATACTTTGTTGATCAAAAGAAACTAATCAAGGTAAATCTTTCTACACAAAAACTTAAATAAATGGGTTGTACATTCACAATTTTCCCAACAAACTAAATCTTCTTGTAAACTATTAACTCAATCTCCCATTCCAAACAAACAATTTATAGTAATTTGCATGCAATCTGCTGTAATTCAATACAATGACAAAACACAAATAAAAGTTATGCCAAAATGTTTGCAAATAGTTACTTTACTTAGCAAGCATCCCTTTAAGTGCTACATACATTAAAAAATAACATATTAGCATTGGTTCATTTAATCAGAATCAGTGTCCATTCTGAAGCAGATATTCAACAGAGAACCACACTGCCAAGCTAACATAAACAACAGCTAAATCATTTAATAAAAAAGAAACAGTTGCTGCTCTTTCTAATAATACTGAGGGAAGGAAATTTCATAAAGTGCAGCGTAAAGGCTTCATTTAAAGTTAATTGTTTACAACTGTCCTCATAAAATAGACAAAAGAAAAGCAACCTTAATTTGCTACAGACTTTGAATAAAACTATTGATGTTAAGAGTAATCAGACAGAATTCTCTCCTATTCAGGATAAGAAAGGGGGGGAAGAAGAAAATATCACAATTCTCCCTCCCCTTTAAAGGAAAGGAATCTGCAACTGATTGTTCTCAAAATCAATATACTTTTATTCAAAATCTACTAAACTAAGGTTAACTATGGTTAATTTCAACTAAACTAAGGTTGCCTTTTTTGGTTCATTTAAGATGTCCTAGTGCCATGTTTACTTCTTTTTATTTTTTGTGTCACCTTTCACTTACACTACTGAAAATATTACACAGATATTAACTGAAAACTTAAGGTAAGAATTCAGAAGTTCTGAAGTGTAGAAATGATAAACTTAGGAGTCCCTCAAAGATCCACATAGGACCAATAATTTTCAAGCTTTATATTAATGATTTTCCTAGCTTAAATAACACAGTGACAGCAGTATATGCAGATCACACTACTCTGTTGACCAGCTGACCAATCCAATCATATCAAGTAGAGCAATTTGCCTTTTGAAAAATGTTCCATTATCGCTCTGAGGGCACAGGATTTTAGATCCGTCATGAAGACTGGTATTTAAACAGCATTTATTAATCGAGTTTACAAATTACTTATTTTAGTCTGTATTTTCAAAATGTATATTCATTAAGATGATATTTAGATTATTAAAGAAAGTAAGAAAGCAAAATATCTTAAATTATAAGCTAATATATGCCAAGTAGCTAAACTTCTGATGACCGGATAAAGCCGATCATAATGCTCAGAGAGTTATGACATATTTCTATTATTCACAAATTCCACTGTGTTGCATTGCCCGTGTATTTCATTGTGATTTCTTGTCTTGGAATCAGATCCATTATCATACATCAAAGGAAACCTTGTACTTTACTGTACCCATGCATAAAATTGTTGGGAGCTACAGCAGATGAGAAACTGGCTTCTAAAGACTATGTTCATTGCCTAAAAGACAAAGCCCACAAAGCTCTAATGAGCATATAGTCTCTCGTTAGATGTTAATCAAGCCCCAGTCTAGAAACCTAAAGATATCTATAGCTGTCCTTAATAAAATCCATTTTTACTATATGCTACTCTAGTCTGAGTAACCTTTAAGCAAAAATACACAGGATTTCAGTTGTAGATTGCCCAAAACAAGGCCATGCAAAATCAAACAGTAACTCAGTTCTTCGGGGAAATTGAAATATAACTTGCATTTAAAATCTCACATTTAAAAATGATTCGAGATTTTGCATTAATTTTAGAAAATTCTGAACTTATTAATTATGTAACCTGTGATGATCTGATCACAAAATAAAATCTATAAAATGATCAAAATTCCATCATAAGTAAAGGTAGTGATTGTTGCCTTCATGACACCGCATTACGCACAGAAATCTACAAGATTATCTAAGGAATATGTAACATTATGAAACTTTTCAAACTGACTGGTTCTAATAAATGTGGTAAATTTTGATTAGTTTTATAACAGCTCTTTTCTAAATCTGGAATAAAAAAGGGCCACTTGTAAAAGGAACAGAGGATTATGCACATGCTATTACGTAAAATTGTGCAGCTTATTTTAATTACTGTATTAAATCTGAGAATCAACTAAAGTTTAAAATAACAGATTGAAATAAAATTTAAAAAAAAAAAAAAAAAAAGAAAGAAACACTTTTAAATTTTAATAAAATAGCAAAGCACATACCGAGCAGCTTGAACTTTGAGGCTCTTACGTACTGTTGCATGGTCATAAATTTCCCCAAAATCCTTAATTCGTTCTTCAGGAGCTCGATAATAGGATGAAATGCGCTTGTACTTAATAAAACCTCTGAAATATAATGAATATAAAGAATTATTGTATTTATTGAAAAATAAGATCCACTTTTTTTGCTACATTTTAATTCTAAAATTTAGTAGGATCTCATAAATGGATATTTTTATAAATGAAATTGCATAAAGAGAGAAAGCAATTGAATTGTCCAATCTTAGAGAATAATTGCATTGTTTAAATAGTAAATGAACCTCACAGGTACATATAAACAGTATAATTATTGCTAACTACAATAGCCCATTTAACTTGGCAACTTTAATTTAGGCTTGCATCCATAACATTTGCCACTGGTATGCCCAAAAGTAAATACATTACAATGTACTATCAGTAACTTTCCATAACTTTGATTTCTACACCATAGTAAAATAGTATCATATTTAGCTATGTAGTTAATCAGAATCAGTTCTAACCGTAATCTATAGAAATAGTCACTTATATTTTTATTTCTTAAAATTTATCCTAACTAACTTATAAGGACGGCCTTATTTTTGAGTAAATACAATATTCAAAACTTGATTTAGAGTTTTTAAAAGATTTTAAAACGAGAACCTTTAACAAAAAAGCAAAGATTTAATATATAATAAAAAGCAAGGTGAATCTTCGGATAACGGTAACTTGGCGATTTTTTGGCGAAACTTTGGTGACCAACCCTGCTACAGCAACCTGCTAGTTTTTTTTTTTTTTTTTTTTTTTTTTAACTCAACATTTTTTCCAACAATTTGCTAGCCGAATTACACTTATGCTAGAACTTTTATGGAACAAAAGTGCTTAATCATGACAAAGATCAGGTGAGAAAGTGCAGAATCGCCCACTGCTTCGAGCGTTAAGGATTGCACATATGCGGTATACATGTACACATCGACCTATTTTCACTTAAAAAAACATCCCAGAATTGCACAAAAATGGCATTGTGCACACTCCTGACTTTATCCATGAACACATCGACCTATTTTCACTTAAAAAGTCAAAGAAAATTGAAAAAAATCCAATTCTTCTTACTCTTGTAAAAAGCACCATACAAATAAGTGGGCGATTCTGCACTTTAGCAGCAAAATTGTTTCTAAGTGCTTATTAGGTAAAATCACGATCGGAATTTTCTGGAAAATGTCACATGACATGTCTCATGATCTCTCATTTCTCTGAGACAAAATAATCTGTGATTCGAACTGTGTACTTCTCAGATTATTGCTGAAGGTCCTACCTAATAACCTTTATCGCCTTACCAAAATGTGGCGAAACTACCTGTTACCATATTCCAAAGATTAACCAAAAGCAATTAAACAATTAATTTCATTACAAAAATAGTGTATTGGATTAAGGAAAAATAGGGTACTCTTCAGTCATCTCATTCGATTCAGAAATGTATGCAATGTATGCACATATGTATGTAGATATATATGTATATATCTGTGTGTATACACATGTATGCATACATATGTACATGAATACATACATCCCTAGACACATGCATACATAAAAACATCCATACATGCATATATACATTTCTGAATCCAGCCCCAATAACAGAAGAGTATTAAAAATATATAGTAATTAAACTATCAAAATTTATTAGAAGTTCCTAATAGAAACTAATAACATTCCATCAATCCCACGTAGTTGATTTAAAAATGAAGTATTTATATGCACATACTTCAAATTAAAATTTTTACTGCAATAAAATAATACAAAATATCTGCAAAGTTACAAATATTGATTACATATGTAAACTGACAGGATTTTATATGATAATTTGAATTAATTTCAGTCTTATAATGCTATTCAATTATATTTAAAATTTTAAAAAAATTAATAGCATAAATATATCATAAATGACATAGCATTACAAAATATATAAAATTCTTGTATCTTTTCTTTAATAAGTCTGTGCTTCAAAAATTCACTTAAAATTTATATTTTAACCACTTATGCAAACTCAAAATATATAAAAATAAATATTATGAAATTCCCGTTTAAAATACATATTATTTTCCACTTCAAGAAATCAACATTAATAAATAATTCAATTCAGTTTCTCACTCACAAAGGCCATACAATTCCTGAAAATTAAATTTTACTTTACTTTTTAATAAAAACATTTCCCACTTGAAAAATGCCATACTACGAGGGCCATCCAGGAAGTAGATTACGTTTCCGTCTGTGTCCGCTAGGGGCGGGGCTAGCGCGGCCATCTTGGGGTCAGAGCATTGCGCAGCTCAGTCTGCATCTAGCCGTGCTAGTGAGAGGTTCGTGCTGTGCTCCGTTCAGATACTGTGACGGTTTGAAATGTCTGCGTTAATTGAAAATCCCGCGAGCTGCGAGGTGCGCTCAGTAATAAGGTTTCTGACTGCAAAAAACTGTAAACCGATAGAAATCTATCGGCAGCTTCGTGAAGTGTATGGGGACAACATTATCACTGAAGGTGGAGTGCGTCAGTGGGTCATAAGATTTCAAAATGGCCGAACCAATGTTCACGACGAAGATCGAAGTGGGAGACCCAGCATAGTGACCGCCGAACTTCTCGAAAAAGTCGATGCTAAAGTCCGTGAAAATCGAAATTTCACATAACGGAACTTTCTTTGAGTTTTCCACAAATTTCGCGAAGTTTGTTGCACGAAATCATCAGCGAAAAGCTTGGTTACCACAAGTTTTGTGCAAGATGGAAGGCAAGAAGAAGAGGTAACGAAGTGGTTGAAGGCGCAGGCGGCCGAATTTTTCGACGAAGGAAGGAATTTCCAAGCTCGTACATCGCTACGATAAATGCCTTAATTTGTATGGTGACTATGTAGAAAGTAGTATTTGAGTGTGGCTTTCATCTGTATATAATAAAATTTGTTTCCTATACTTTGTTTATTTTTTTATTCCAAAACTAATCTACTTTCTGGATAGCCCTAGTATATCATAAAAAGAAACTGATAAACTGATGTACAATATCTGTATTTATAAATATCAACACAAAAAACTGTTAAGTGTTTGCTTGAAAAATTTAAAAAATCAATAACTATGGAAACTGACATAAAAGACAGACCTAGTTTTATCTAGTTTCCCACCTTCTTGTCTCAGAATATCTTCAATGTCAGTTATTAGTTTCAGTTCTGAATTTTTTTGCAAAACTTTTGATTTTGAGGATTCAGATGTCTCCTTCTTCAAGCTAGATAATTTAAGGACCCTTTGATAATCTTTAGGAAACACCTGTAATAATAAAAAAATATGACTGACTTTCATATTTGCAACATTTAACATACTTTAATTTGATACAACAGAGAGGCTGAGCAAAATGAATACAAGCAATTAATATTTTATATAGAGTTTTTTTATAAATAAAATATCGAGATTTTGTGTTACCTACACTTAATGTCCCTCTACACTTTAAGTAACCAGTCTGATACTGTAGGAAAAGTTTTCTTTTTAAATTTAATCACATCTTAAGGAAATATTTTAAACACTTTTAGTTTACATCCTTGGAAAGGGGAAAATGTTGCATTCAGAGGGAAGGAAACTGAAAATTAAGCATTTAACATAAATGCCAATCCCAATTTCCTTTCATCATTTGGTATATGTTTCTGTATTTTTCAGTGCAGTATAGCATATTGCTCTTAGGCTAAAAATATTAAATCACCCAATCTATTTTCCTTTTAATACATAATGATATTATTAAAGAAAGAACATTTAACTTGGATGTTTAGGCAGAATTCATAAGAAATCTCTTAAACTACCTAAATATTTCCTCAACCAGAAACTCACACTTAACAATATTACGAGTTTACAAGACAAAAATACACTCGTAAAAATAGAGCAATTTGACTTGAAGCCAAACAGAAAAAAACTACGAAGGTTTACGAACAGAATTAAAGCTTTAAACTTCTCATCTTCAATAAGTGATCTAGTTGAGCAGCAAACAGTAATAATGACAACAGGAATATAATTGTAATAATGATATATTAGATGTCCTTTGAATATAACATTTATGTACTGAGTGAAAATGCATCAAAATTTTTAGGCATTTATTTCACTTGCACTGGATTAAATTATCAACTGAAAAATATCATGGGACACTAAAACAGAATGGAGAAGATTAAAGATTTCTTGAAGCATTCGTAGTAATGAACCTAACAAAATATGTATAGATTTCTCTCAAAACACTGCACTGACATAGTTAAAAAAAATAACATATTTGAGTATATTGGATATGACTGCAAGTATGAAGTTGTGGTCAGATTTTTTTACTATTAGACTAGGAGTCTATTATTTATATTATTTTGCTTTGGGGTTAAAAAAAAAAAAAAAAAAAAATTTGTTCTAAGAGTACATGTACAACTTGCACCAACTTGCATTAAGGCTCAACAGACTGAATTTGATATAGTCTGGTAATAATGCTTGACTGTGGTATTTGCATAATTAAATGAAACTAAGTTCTCATTTCAATAGTGTTCAGTCAGTAAAATTTTTAAAATATCTCATTATTGCCAACTTTCTTCTCAATGCCCTTTTATCAACTCTTTGATATCCTCAGCATCCACTGGTGGGCAATAACAACTACTTTAGGAAACTATGATCTAAAGTATACAAATACATGCACAATACATACACATACTGCATGCATGTCTAAATACTTAATGAATAATAATCATGTGAACAGAAATGCTTGTATATAAAATACTACATTAACAATCTAAAAAAGACTATTACAAATTTGAGAAATGATAAGTATTACGATACATAGGAAACTGAATATCAGGGCTAAAGAAAGAGAAGAGCTGGATCATCCCTTTGAGGGAAATGATGCTGACATGAGCCCTCTTGGGAAGCATACCGGATGTTATGTGACATCACTGGGTACGTTCCTCACTGACTGACCAGAACTTCAGTACGAAAGATTGAATCTTTAGTTCTTAGTTTCAGAAAAAGAGGTATTTTTTTACTAGAAAATTATAACTGATGATATTTTTAAATGGATTTGTATTTAGAAAGTGCTTGTAATGATAAATGATTGAAAAAATAGTATTGTGTGCTATTGCTACCTTTAGTAATACCTATCATAATACAAAAGAAACTAACATGATATTTCATCGATTTCTGTACAATAACATTCAGTTAATAAAAGAATGGCTGCACAGGTGTTGAAGAGCGGATATTGTCAACACGAAGAGCACTCAAATATGCAACAATCACTTCAATGAATCTGATTATGAGGATGATATAAAAAATAGATTACTAGGATTACAGACAAAAAAGGTAATGAAGTCAATTGCTATTCCAACTGTTAGTATTTCTGATTTGGTTATTTATCAGAATATACCAAGGCAGCAAAGGCAACAAAAAGGAAAAATTTCACAAAGTGCATTTGATAGAATTGAGAATAAGTCCCAAAAAGGCATGTCTGGATTTCAAAATGATAACAATAATAGCTATGAGAAGCTCATAATAATAGCTATGAGAAAAATAATGTTACTCAGCAATGTTATAATTGTTCCAACCTCCAAAAAAAAAAATGTGAATGATTTAATCACAAAATTATCAGCTCTTGGTTCCTGTTTTACAGACTGAGAGAAAGCAGCAATTAAAAACTAACTCCCAGCAAAGAAAAAGATTTAAAAGGAACAGAAAACTAATATTAGAAAAGTTCAGAAAGTGAGGAAAGAAATTTAAAAATATAATCAAGAAAATGGAAAACTAAGAAAAATGAAAACATATGTTCAAAACATATTTACTGAAACTCAAATAAATGCATTAATGAATAAAAGAGAATTAAATGGTCTCCAGATAACATTTCAAAGAGCAATCAGGTCATTGTCCGTGAAGTCATACGATTTCTGGAAAGGAAAAATGGGTATTCCACTTCCAAGTGCAAGTACACTGAAAAGATGGTGCTCAAGATTCAGTTGCATCCCTGGCATTTTAAATGATGTATTGCTATTGATGAAACAACTTGCCAAAATACAACTGACAAAGAAAGATTATGCGTATTAAGTTTCGATGAAATTCCATATAGATTCAAGACTCTGTTATGATTCAAAATTAGATCAGATATTAAGGTCCTTTTAAAAAGACTCAATTTGTATTGGTTCGAGGACTCATTTTCGCAATGGAAACAGCCCATTTATTTTGATTTTGATCGTCAAATGAAGGAAAATCTTCTGTCTTCCATTTTGTTTGAACATGAATTGTCTGGGCTTCAAGTCAAAGCAATTGTATCCGACATGGATGATGCCACACTGCATAAGGTTTTGAGAAACTATTTTCTTGATAAAGGTTTTATTCTTGGAAATGGTACAATTATAAACAAAGACGTTATATATGAAGTATTCAATAAAGATATAGGAGAAATTAAACTATGATATAAACCGAAACCTCACTTTTTATCTGTAAAAGGAAACAAGAGACAGAAAGTAGCACCAGCAAAAGCATTATTTTCCTCCACAACAAAGCTGATGAACTAGCCCTTTAGCTCTGACAGAACATTGGGTAAGCGTAGAAGAAATACACTGAATGTCATAAATCAAAAACAGTTTATTGTTATCAAGAAGCATTTAGTATTTCAATTGTGTTCAAGCTTACCATTCCTTCCTTTTTGTGACATCAGTATGATGCGAGTGCTCTTCGTGTAAATAAAGCAATACAACCACTAATCAAGCACAAAAAGCTTTTTACATGCTTGAATATGCAAGCACAAATTTTATTACCATAGTAGAGCTGCATTTTAGAACATAATATGAGCAAAAATTTCTCTCGATATTGAAATGGCCGTTTAACAAACCAGATCTTGTCTCTGGTATGTTGGCTAGTAACAAATCCAAATTTAACACAATGTAACTACTTCTTGTGAGAATGAATTGGGGACTGAGGTTTTGTCCCCCTCTCTTTTTACTAGTCTGGACAATAGGAAACAGCACATCGCAACAGCTGTTGCCCTTTTGACATGAAGATTAAAAAACATTGGGATACACTTGATTATCATATTGATATTTGAAAGCATAATATGCAGAATATTTCGAATTTAGCTAGATAAATATAAGAACACATTTCTAATGATTCAAGCATTTCAGTCATACTATTGTCAATTTCTTCTAGGCTAATTCTCTACTGCATTTAATTTTTCAGAATAATATGGCTAATGTTTTGATATCGCTTATACAAATTATCTCCGCACACAACAGTTGTCTACATATTACTAGAAAGTTACACATTTATACAGTTCATTATTATAGCAGAATAAAACAGGTTTCTTTTTACAAGCTTCTAATGGTTTCACCTTCACAAACAATCTTGCTGATTCAGGCCAGGTATCTAGAAGAGACTTTGCCACCTCTGATCCTGTTCTTTCTTTGAATTCAATAATGTATTCCTCTAAAAATTTCAGATCTTCATCAAGAGTTACTGGCAAAAGATCTACAGAAGATGTGTTGCATTTGGAGGCAAACTGCCCATCTCTAAAAAAGAATGATGATTGTCAAATATATAAATATTTTCATAGAAGTAATAGAAACAATAGTAAGAAATGTATTTCATATCAGTAGATAAGAAAAGTTGACTAAAAACGTCAAATTTTATAGCTTAAAATAAAGCAATTGAAATTGAGTAATTATTTTAAAAGGTATTCAAATAAAATTCCATCATTTGATTATCTGTTACAAAACTGATCAGTTTTAGAAACCTTTATCTTAAGCGCTCTAGTACTCACCTGTTCAAAACATATGCAATACCTCCTGACATACCAGCAGCAAAATTACGTCCAGTCAGACCCAGTACAATAACATAACCTCCTGTCATATACTCACACCCATGGTCTCCAACACCCTAAAAAATATAGATTATAATCAAACCTATAGTTAAGCAATACTTATAGTACAAAAGACATTAAATAAAATAATGCAAATTATCTTTGTTCTATTTACAATACTCTTTCAAATCCAAGTCATATATTTTTCACATGTAAACCTCATTAAAAATAGATTATGGCTCAAAACAGGGTTCTCAACTTGGGGAAGGGAAATGCAATCAACCTTTGATTGATCCATTATGCATTTAGTTTTAGTTATTAATATAAAAAACTACTTTTATTCAAGTTTTGGTATTTAGCAACATTTTCTATACTTTCTCTTTAATTTAGGAAACACATTAAAAATATTTCAATTTTAAATAAATTTATATGTATTTTAGAAAGGAGGGAGAGAATAATAGGAAACCATTTCTAGTTATCTAGAAATGGTGAAAAGGGTGCATGAGGCAAAAAAAGGTTGAGAACCACTGGCCTTAGAATCTATGGTAGCTTAGAATCACAAATATTTAATAAAATATTAAATAATCTGAAGTAAATTACTAATTTATACAGGAATACTATCATGCTAATATAAATAAAAATTGATTATTAAGTATCTGTGAGACTTAGTATTTGATTTCACTTATTTTTTCTCTATTGGTGGAACAGAAATTAGAGGATGCATCTCAGAACTGAAGAAATATAATATTGATTGCCAATCAATTATTTAGTCAATAACTAATTATTTTAGTTCCCTTTATAATAAAACTTTCCATAATAAGGACATTTAAAGGTGTTATTATTTTATCATTACTTTGCAATGAAGATTTTGCATTTATTTGCAGTTACATTCTATTGCAGCATAAATGTATGCATTAAAAGGGAAATTAATTTTAAAATATAATAACCATAATCTCAAAACGTAATGCAACACATGGGTCAATAAACACTTGCATGTTAGTACTCGTTAATAATTCCACAATGTAATTGTGGCTTATACCGCAAATTTCAGGGCAAACTTATGTTCAGCATAGTTCAAGTATCACTTTTAAGAACTTTGTCACAATATTAATTTGAAATTCCCTTAGCATCGTGAAATATGTAACACAGAAAATTTAGCAGATTATAAAACAAAGTTCTGTAATGAATGAAGTAAGATATGAAACTGATAAGACTGTGAATGAGTGTAATTATGATAGCACTTTTCACTCTTTCAGTCAGTGTCAGATTACAGGATCAGAAGTACAATTAAAAGATACATGGGGGGGGAAATGTACTAGAAAACATATTAAAAAATTAACTTAAGTATGAAATAATAATATATCATCATCAAGTGTTAAAAAATCATACTTTTTTTTTAATTATATTTACTATTCTGAAAAATAATCTACATGACATGAATGGCCAAAAAAAAAAATAAAACAGTTGTACCCCTCCCAAAAAAAGAAAATTAATAGCATAAAATTTATTATATTTTTTCAAAACAACCAAAGACTTCAGGTCTTCTAAATTTCTTAGCTTGCATACTTTTGCAATTTCCTTCCTTTTACTATCACATGAAGCTCTATAAAATATTTAATATTTTCCTTACCATTATGTAACACAAGCTGCAGCATATTTAATAAATCTTAATGTGAAAGTTGAAAATAAATATTGTCAGTTGTATTGTTAATTAATACAAAATATATCAAAAATTAATAATAAACATATGGGAAAATAGCAGAATAAATAAATAAGTTAAAAAAAAAAGTACACACTTCATTGATTGCTATAGCTCCTGAATTTCTTACAGCAAACCTTTCAGCTACAATACCCCTGAAAAATGCTTTTCCAGATGTTGCTCCATACAAACAAGCATTGCCAGCAATCACATTAAGTTCTGATCGGAAATCTGAAGGCATATCTTTTGGAGGATACAGTATAATTTCGCCACCAGTAAGACCCTGCAATGTAATATATTTTGAATTACTTGTAACATTTGTACAAAATAATTACACAATACAAATTAAATTACACTTTAAAAGACATTAAACAACGTCCATACTTTAATTATTAAAACAAAGAAATAATTATACTTTTTAAAGAAAAATAAATTACAAAAGAAAAAAATTTAAAGAAGAAAAGAAAAAGAAAATATAAAAGTTTTCAGACTTTAACGTCACATCATGAGGTTTATTACATTTTTTTTTGTGCTCTCACTGAGCTCACAGGTTTAACAATTTGCTCTTGGACTCACTCCTATTAAAAGAATTTTTTTTTTTTTTTTTTTTTTTTGCCTTTTAACTTTATTATTAACCCCTTAACTGCCACGGGCGTATATATACGCCTTGCTCAGCCGATGCGTTAACTGCCCCAGATGCGCAGCCGATGCGTTAACTTTGCGAATAATTTTAGGTGTAGCAGCGCAAAGCAAATGATAGCAGTTTGGAAGGACGTATATATACGCCTGGGGCAGTTAACGCATTGGCTGAGCTAGGCGTATATATACGCCCGCGGCAGTTAAGGGGTTAAACACTTTCTTCACACTTACGCCACATAAAATTCAACAAAAAAATCCCAAAAGCAACATATTTTTAGAATTGTCAACAAAATATTAAGTGTTGCCATGTATTTTTCTACTTTTTCAGTCCTTTCTCAGTTTATCTTGTAAATCTTTAGTTCTTTTAACAAGATGACCTAGATAATTTTTTTTTGTCTTTTTAACTTTATTGTAACTTTTCATTAACATTACTTTCTCCTCACTTATGCTCACATTCAACATAATCATGACATTTTTAAAAGCAGCATATGTTTAGAATTCCTGATTCGGTGTTAAGTGTTGCCATTAACTTTTTTCAGGATTTTCTCAGTTCATTATATTATCGAAATTCAGTTTTCTTCGGACACAATATTTTTTACCATTTTATCATTAGCTACTTATCTTTTTAACATTTATTTATTAAACATCATTTTCTTCATACTTGCATCAAATAAAATTTAGCATCAAAATCACAAAATGTTTAGAAACAGCATATCTTTAGAATTCCCAATAAAATATTAAGAATGCCATACAGTTTTTTTTTTTTTAAATATTTGCTATATAATTTTTTTAAAATATCACACAGTCATTAACATTTAGCGGCAACATCCTTTTATTTGTGCTTCAATACACTTTTTTACTTCCTTGTACAAAGTAAAGGAAGTATTGTAATCATTAAAAATTCCGGGTATCATATTTCAATGAAAAAAATTCATTCTGATGGATATTGAATGCAATTAAACGATGTTTGTGTGTGACATCTGTATGTAAGGAAAGAATAAAGGACTCTTTTTCCCCAAAAAATTATAAAACTCACTTAAAATTAATTCTGAAAAGAATTTTTCGTGGTGTCTGTGCGTACGTAGGTATGTATGTACGTATCTCGCATAACTCAACGCGTAGCCTTAGAACGTTGAAATTTTGTACATAGGACTGCTACAACATGTAGATGTGCACTTCATATTTTGGTTGCAATTGCTCGCACCAAAAGTATATATATATTTAGTAATGAAATATTGATTATATTATCTCACAATATAAATTTAGTAGAATATATCAAAACCATTTCAAACCATTCTAACCATTTCGGTGGGCTCTATTTTGTGAATAAAAATTCTTAATATTTCATTGGGTGAAAATTGTAACCGTTCTTCTATAAGCATAAACGCCTTTTTACTTTCTTGTATGAAGTAAAAGAAGTATTGTAATCACGAAAATTTGCAAGTACCATATTTCAAAGAAAATATCCATTTTTACTGCTATCGAATGCAATTTAACGATGTTTTTGAGTAACTTCTGCACATAAGAACAGAATAAAGGTCTCTTTTGACCCCCAAAAAATTATAAAACTGATTTCAAATGCATTCAGAAGACATTTTTTCACGGTGTTTGTACCTAAGTACATATGTATGTATCTTGCATAACTCAAAAACAAGTAGGCTCAGAAGGTTGAAATTTTGTACATAGGACTGCTAGTTGTGCACCTCCCTTTTTGGTTGCAATGGTGCACAAAAGTGTATATATATATATATATATATATATATATATATACATACATACATACATATAATTTATTTCCTAAACGCTATTATTAATATATATATATACATGTAATGATATTTTTAAATTAATTGATTAAATTAAATTCTAATAATATTGCTTAATAATGTGATGGCGATTCTCTACCTAAATTGCATCCCTGTTCCTAAATTTTGGCGAAATCCTTTCTTTAGTATAAAATATATTAACCTGTTGGGCCCGCCAAATCGCCAAACTCATAAATCTGTCATATTACATAAAGTCCTTTAGAAACACTCCTGATGAGAGATAGCGTCACCTCGTGATTTCAATTAATATCGCTGATTGGGAGGAGCCTCGTGACGTACACATATGTATAAGTAGGGCTTCTGCTCAAGGTACGAGGAGAACGCTTGTGAGATGGATGCTAAAATAAACCTACCACTTTATATTCCAAAATTTGTCTCATTCCTGTTGCCCCGGCTGCACAAAACAAATAATGTATGAGAAATTACATTTCAGAAAGCCGGTGGTAGGATACCACCTTCAAAGGGATTATCTAAAAAAAGAAGATACCCCAAGGATTATACGGATAAAATGTTACGCACTTTAGATGAATTTGCCGGCTGTGCGACTTCCTATGTTCCTATATTTTTCTCTAGGCGTTCTTGCTTCAAGAGAATCATCCTTCTGTTACCTGTATTCTGGTATTCTGCAGATTATTTTACGTCCAGAGAAGCATCCTTCTGCCCCCTGTAATGCGTGATCTGTGTCTCCATCGAAAGTTCGTCGTTCATCAAATGTGCTCTTACCGTTGACCTAGTTTTGAGGATGTGAAATCTTTCCCTATGTCTGTACGGCGTTCTGTGTTGCTCTCGAGACCTTTGGTGCTTGTGTGGTGATTGATCGTGTTTTTTTTGCGAAAATCTAATCAAGAGTGCGCAAAAATGTGTATTTTCGTGTCGATTTCATCACTCGTATTCTCGTCACAATACGCGTCAAACAGAAAGCAATTAGTAAAAAGATTGGCGATGCAAATGATATTATTTACTATTGAAGTTATAATTACTGATTTAATAATTAGTGTTTTATTTTGAAAATTTTAAAAAGTATTATTTTGGTATAAATGTATTTTAAATTTGGTATTTAAAGGATGTATTTTGGTTTTAATATTGTTTTGGGAAAATTTAAAGAGTATATTTTTTAGTTAGTTGAGTATTATGAAAGTAGTTTTATTTATGAAAGTATTATTAAGGAGAATAATGGCTAATGAAAATATCTCTGATCCTGATGATTCATTAAGGGCAGCCTAGCGCTGAACCTGAAACAAGTATAATTCCCTTTGACGCGCAGAATGATATGGATATAAATTCATGGCTTGAGTACTTTTTAACAAAACTCATTTAGAATAAAGATGAAATGTGGAAGCTTAATAATGTAGCTCGATATCTAAAGGTAATGCACTTAGCGTATATGTCAAAAACTGCCATCAAAATTACTAAATATGTGGAATTCCAAGTCCAAAATTTTAAAAGGAAAATTTTTTTCGACCCCACTTTAACTACGTTTGGTGATTTTGCCAATTTACAAGTACAATAACAAAGAGGACATAACGCAATATTTTTCGCAAAAAATTAGATATTGGTAAAAAATTAAATCTAACTCATGAAATGATCTTGGAGGGTCTGACGGATGGCCTTCCTATAGAATTAAAATCCTTAATGACGATCAACGCTCACCCTCTGACCCCATCTCTTGGCTTACTTCATGCCCATAAGCTTATTAAGATTAGAGAAAATCAACAAATCAAAAAGTTGCCTCCTCCCAGATTTTGTTACTCCGATTGAGAGAACAGTCCCCAAGATTACAATCGATTTAATAGAAGTAGAATTTCAGCTACTGTGAGACAAATTCTCCTAGACCCAACAATTTCCAACGTTTTCAGAGACCAAGTAATTTTATAATCGGTTCAGTGGTCCAGGATTTACAAGCCATCATAATTATAATTCTCAAATAGATTGCCATTGCCACCCAGTCCCTGTAGACTTTGCACCCGGAACGGAATCCCAAATGCTTTTCACTGGTTTCAGGTTTGTCCTTTCAGAGGGGAGAGATCTGATACACCTAATGCTACACCTAATGTTACACCCCTTGCAATAGAACCAACCCCAGAAATTCCCCTCACAGTATTTGACAGTATTAAAGGTGTCGGGATATTTGCCCAATAAGAAACGTCTAGAGTGTGTTGTAAGACAGTGGTTGCCACCATATCAATAATTTCTTCCTAAAACAGCTAGACAATTACGTTTAAAAGTACAAAGAGTTAGATCATTTTCAGTAACCCAAACTAAAGGAAAAATAATCTTCAACAAAAATATGTTGTATACAAATGAAAATTGGACGGATTAGTAACCAAATTACCTTGTTTGTTCTTGATAATAATTTGAATTATGTAATTTTAGGACTTTATGAATGCAAATTATTTGAGTTGAGTATTGATTGTACTAATTTAAAAATTAAACAGAGAGCTATTGTACTTAGTGATGACTGCCATTTTGACAGCCGACCCATATCTCTACACCTCCAACTTTAAGGTGGGTACAACAAATGTTTATCCATGTGTTAATAATAATGATCATGATGTAAGAAATTTTCCAACCTGTAAATCTTGGACTACAAATCCAAAGGAATTAGTTTCTCAGTCTAACATTTATGTGAAAAATGCTGTTTCTAATACTGTCGATAACAAAGAGTATAACTTGGAAAAATTGTTAAATGATTATTCGTCTGTGTTTTCTAAAAATAAGTATGATGTAGGAAAAATTAATATTGAACCTCAACGAATTAATTTAAATTCTGATTTACCTGTATCGTTAAGACCTTATAGAACATCCCCTATGGAAGAAG